TCATGCTCCAGTGGTGTGATCATTATGAATCGTTCCATTTTCGTTAGCAAAATCATTCTTCTTTTCAGAGTTCTCATCTCGAGAAGGTCATTCAGAATTTGAGTTCTTTACACAAACAAACTTTTCCATTGAATCCTTTTTGAGTTAACGCCGCTTTCTATAAATCTCTCCTCTTTTTTCTTTATCTTATTCAGATTCAATCATTTCGATTACATCTTGAAATTAATTAAATTTATAAATTTAATTATTATTGGGAAAAAAATCTAACAAAATCAACAAATTATAATACGAACACTCAATAGATAATAATCAATGATTAAAAAATAAAAAATGAAATCAATTAATAAACTAATTAAATAGTTTGTCGGACTGTTCACCATTCGTTTGAAGTTTATCACCCTGCTATTTCACTGTGTTTAGGAGTGGGACACAAATTTCCCTAAAGAAATTGTCCTAAATAGAAGCAAAAATGTTTTGAAATTCCAAAATAGGAATATCATGTTTTTTATTCCTTGAATAGGAGTAATCTGACAAGTTTGGGAAAAAATGTCATGTTTTAAAGCCTAGTAATGCCAAACTTGACAGAAACTTACTCATATTCAAAGAATAAAAAACATGATACTCCTATTTTGGAATTTCAAAACTTTTATACTCCGATTTAGAGAATTCTCTCATTTCCCTAGATAAGTTACGGAAGGTTTAAAGCTTTCTTTGCAAATACGTACTATTCATAAGTGCCGGAGTGCGTTTGAACTTTTAAAGTGATTTTTTTATCGTCAAAACAGTTTTATTAAAATAGAGCAAACATGCAAGACAAAATTCAGACTGTTATTTCAGATCCGATCGTAAGCCCTAGGAGTAGACTTAAAGTCAGTCACCCATACAAAGCAACCTGAGTCGCTAGACACAAAACGGGCAAGAATAAGCCTAAAACAATCGCAACTGAAGCGATGTCTATCAAAAGTGTTGGAGGAATCGGTCGAATAAACCTGCAAAAAAACGTTAGAAACTAATATAGCTCGAGTCGCGTAAACGGTGTCCTCAAGAAAGTATTTCTGACTAGCAAAAATCTTTCCCCAAGATAAAACGAGCTCTTCGGCGTAAGCCGGTAACAGAACAACGAGAGTGAAGAATTATATTAATCCAGCAGAGTGAAAATATTAAGGGATGTTTTAGCTCAAAATTATCTTTTTTCTTAGCAAATCAACTAGCATGGCCGAACATATATAAATACACATGCAACATGTACGTTGCTGGCCAGATTAGAAACGGCTGCAATTAAACTCATCTTAATGTTTGTATTTCACCAAAGATGAGTAACGTGCTAAGTATTAAAAGTTATAAACGTTGAGCACAATGACCACAAATTTTAAAGCTCATTTCGAACAAAAAAAAATGTTGTAACATAAAACAATGATTCAAAGAATTTTAATAGCACTAACGTAACCATATACACACTTCCAATATTAATTGGATAAAGTAGATGTTGTAATGTTACTATTTGGAAATACTCAATGAACATAAAATAGTATTTATTTTTTAATAGAAATATCTAATTTATTAATAAAATAATATTATTAGATAATTTATTCATTTGAAATACTCCCAAATATTCCAACAAAAAGTTCATCAAAAATCAAAATATACTCCAATCATACCTACTCGAACTGAAATAAAAACAAGTTTTACTAAAGGAAAAATAATACGAAAATAGAAACTTTCCTCAAATTGCTTCTTCCCTCGGAGGTGGTTTCGGAGGCGGACGAGCTGCTCTAGTATGGGAGAAGAGAATTTCGACCCCTGTATAATTCATCTGAAACCATATCCTTCTTGCACTCACCAATTTGCTCTCGCTAGTTTACTTCTTGAGATTTGCCATTGAAATATATGTCCGAGATGCAGAAGAAATCTCTATCATGTTGCCTTTGTAACCGACCTGGATCCGTTTGCAATAGAAAATGATCGAAGCTTCAATAATGTTAGGTTGCTCGTGATGGTTGTTGGCCCTTATAAAAATATTAATATGGACCCATTCATATAAAATTTAATAATTGAATTAATTTGGGTCATTAAAAAAAATACCCAATTGATTTAATTATAAATTAAATCTTTAAAAGAATGGACAAGTCCTATTAATTCATTTATTTTGAACCCAATATTAAATAATGGCCAAATAAATAAGAGATATGATCCCATTGATAAAGAGATCAACGAATCTGGTTAAGAAATCCGTCTGTATGCATGGAAAATGGTTGTGAATCTTGTTAAGAAAGTTGTCCAGATACATTGAACAAATGCAGATTTTTTAGCTATCAAATTCAAGCAAATGGAGTCCAAAACCCATTTTCATTAAGGCCCTAGACATATGGACGAATTTCTGCAACCTTAGGTCATATTTTATCCCCCTCCACACCTATAAATAGGGGTCTCATTTGAGAGAAATGAGAAGGGAACTTCCGGTCGAAGAAACACTGCAGCAAAGCTCTCAAGAACTCCCGAAAGGCTCTGAACGATTCCAAAGAAGAGGAAGAGATCCGGCCACAAATTTTATTAAGAATATACGAATAATCCTTCGTGATTTCATTGATTCTTGATAAAATAAGTCCAAAAGTTGAAGAACGTTCGAAGATATGAAGAACGAAGCTTGAAGATTCGAAGATTTGAAGAACAAGACTTTGAAGATTCGAAGATATGAAGAACGAATCTTTATAAATTTGAAGATATTCATATAAAGATTGAATCAAGTTTCAATTGAAGCTGAAGCCATATGTCCCAGAAGGCCCTTAAACAGAAGATCAAGTCATAAAACGGCCCTTTTGTTGAAGATCGAGCCACTTGAAAACCGGAGGCCCTTCAAGTTGAATTCTTAATTCAAGAATATTTGAAGATTCAAATAACGAAGATTCGAATATTCAATGAACGAAGATTCGAAGATTCAAAGAACAAAACTTTGAAGATTCGAAGATCTGAAGATCCGGAGAACGAAGGTTCGAAGATTTGACAATCTGAAGAACGTTCAGATATTTGAAGAATTAAAGATTTAATTTTAAGTTAAATTCTTTAATTATATTATTTTAAATTGAAAGTGAAGAATCAGAGGATTCATATTTAGAGATTATACCCAATATTCTCACATATTATTATTTGTGAACAATTTTAAGTGAATACTTAAAATTTGTTTCACAAATTTTTGACACGCCCGGTGGGACAATGTTAGATATCCAAGCAGGATATTTTACTTCTCGAATGAATCCGGGTTCAATAAGTTTATCCACCTCTGCCTCGATTAATGGGATCAAATCTGGGCGGAAGCGCCTTTGTACCCAATATTCTCACATATTATTATTTGCGAATAATTTTAAGTGAATACTTAAAATTTATTTCACGGTAGTAACTCAATTTTTCAATGTCATGTATGTTGTATTAACTAAATTTTTAAGAATAAAAAATAGTGGAGCCATTCATAAGCAAAAATATTCGCCATGTATACTATCGGAAAAAATTGCGCGCCCTTAACTTTGAATTCTCGATCCATTAGTATATGACTATGGCTGCGTTTGGATAATGGCTGGTTCCCTTCAATCCGCTATTTCCCCAAAGTGAAAACGCTGCATTTTGCAGCGGTTAGATCCAAATCCGCCAAAAAACAAACAAGCCCTATATGAGCACTGACTTCATGCATGATGAACTCAATGTGCTTAGGAGTTGGATCCACAATAATGTAGATATACTACCTCCATTCTTGAACAAGTGTGATATACTAAATTTTTCTCTATTCACATGTTCTACTTTGATTGCGTTTTATTTATTGATGTATTAATATATATTTTTGAAAAAAATATTACTAAATTTTCTCATTGTAAATTTTCAAAATCTGATTTTTTAATTTTTTTTACTAATATAGAGTTATATATACTACCTTCGTTCTCTTTTAATTGCAACATTTGACTTTTTGCACTATTCACATATTCTGTTGTGACTATATTTTATTAACTAATGTATTACAAATTAAATTTTTAAAAAATATTGTTAAATTCTTCTCATTCTAAATTTTCAAAATATGAATTTGTTAAATTTTTTACTAATAGGGAATGAAAGATATTAATGGTCAAACTTATGCGTTAGTAAACGTGAAATGTTAATTGTTGCCATTAAGAGAGAACGGAGGAAGTATATATTAATGGTCAAAGTTGTGTCTCGAAAAATGCGAAATGTTGACCGTTACACTTATTTAAGAACGGGGGAAGTACTTTACATGGACCAATCGATTAGGTGAAAAAGTGTAAAACTCATTAACTAATCAAGATTGGAGATAATATATGGAGTACTACGTATCAATTAGGTAAACTTTTTCCTAAAGTACAACCTTTACAACTAATACTTGCCTTTAACGTAGAGTAGTTTTCTAGAAAAGAACTCAGATCTACTTCTTTTGTCACTCAATAATGTTTAGCTTGTTTGGTGTAACTTTTTGATATACATCTTTCGTACACTAGTCTATCTTACTCTGTACGACCTTACAGAATTGTCTGTGTACAGACGTACCACTCTGTGTACGTAACCCAAACAAATGTATGAAAATGGTACGTTGAGATTATAGTCCAATTTACATCCTTCCAACGTATCGTCTGGTCGGGGTTGGGGGCCCTCCGGGATGGGGTGTCATCCTTTTTTTCATTTTTCTAAGGTTTAACAATTAACATCTACATGGAATACGTATAAGCAGAAATAATTTTTTATACTCCGTATTTTTTGTCAATGACGCGTATGTGCTAATCGATAACCTTGTTAATGCTTACAGCCTTGTTACATACGGAGTATTTTCCAAAAAACAATTTCTCATTTTGTCTAGTATCTCTTATAATCTTCTCTCTACTTTTTAAGGAAATATTTGTATATCTATTTACTGTAGTCCTATTTGTGCTCTTTGGCCACTTTTTTGTCATATTTAGGTAATTCAGTCTTATTTATATTAGGAAGAGCATATATGGAATAAATGTTCTATTTAGGGAATAAATAGGTTTGCTGGGTATGTTGAGGATATTGTAAAGACTAAAGATGATTTCAGTGATTCTGATATAAGCCAATTACATTAAAAAAAATACAAGGATTCCTTGCTCATATAAAAATTAAAAAATCTTCACGGAAGCTAAAATTATACTCCGTACTACGTAACTAGTAGAATACCACATCCGGAATATATATAAAAAGGTCCACAATCTACGTATTTAGAGGCTACATTCTGCGGTTAGTAGTTCTCCTTTGGCTTCAATTGGGACCTCAACCGTCTCATCTTACTTAATAGAAATGTTAAATTCCAAAGGCTACTACTTGCCATCACGCCCTTCACAGATTTACAGATATTACCTATTTCTTAGGTATGAGGATCGATATGGGTATCAGCATTCACATCAGGAAAATCTGCTACTCCCCCTACGGCCACGATTTGATGGTCTTGCTGCCAATCCCTTTCCCTGATATATTTTACCAGAAAAAACATAAGAGCAGGTAAATTTGATCAATGGTACTTGGCATTTGTATTGAATAGTTTTGGAACCTTTCATTTTAGTTTTAACACTTGTGTGACACCCTAAAACACTCTTACATGCCATGTGACTTAAAAAGCAAGTTTCAGACTCACCTTTCATGTCAGATGGCAATCATTTATCAAATGGATGAGAGACTTGGAGGAAAAAATTGTACATGACTACAAGCAGTTACGAATTTAGAATTTTATTTTTACTGAAAAGGAAACACACTAATTGACTTAGCATGGCACAATAGAGTGCTTTATTTAAGGGAGTTAACAAACCACCATATCAAGAACGAACGGGCAAAAACCATAGACTATTCAGTTTGCAGTTTAGCTTTGACAACCAACCAAATCAGCCACAAGCCCACAACCCGAAAGTTTACCAAAATGTACTATGGGAGGTCAATTATAAAAGGTTGAGGAACCAAAATTGTTTTTAAAAAAAGGAGTTGAGGTAGCAAAATTGTACAGCACATATTGTTGAGGATTCAATTTTTTCACGTTTCTATCTGCATAAGAGCAACTGTCATCACACTGATAAGATCTTAACCTAGTGTGAGGTTAACGCAGACAGACCTCAGTGGGTTTCATCAGCTTCTTTTTCGTTATGGAAGAAACTCTTTGAGCTCGCCTTTTCTTCTCTTCAGCTTCCAGTTTAGAAAGGCTTGGTCTATAAAGAATCACAGTCCTAGCAATTTGGCCAACCACGACAGACCCAGTGTCCACTTCCAATTGCTTAACTATGTCCTCCAGCTCTCCGGGGCAACTTCCATGTATTTTAAGCTGATTAAAAATAATAATGCAGAAAAAATCATCATCAGTTCCACTCAGAGTACCACACAGAAGCTACCTACTAGGAGACTACTACTATATGAAGTTCATGCCTCGTTCGGTTTAGAACTTAGACCTTCTTTGGATAGTGAAATTTAGAGGGGATGTAGGGGCGAATTTGTTTTATTAGTGTTAGATCAGAAAACAAACATCTGTTTAATAAGGTAATATGTTTCTATGTAATTTCTCAATTTAATCCTCTTCCAACGAAAAGATGTACAAGTAAATTAACACATTTAAATATTATTTCGTCAACTGATCAGACTTAGACGTGAAAAACATAGGCGCCTAGACGCCTAGGTGAGAATTAATCATAACTATCAGGGATTTTTTGCAAGAATTCATAATTGTGTCATTATGGTTACTTGAAGATATGTTGTGGCTAAAAGTATTTAATTTTCTAGGGTATACTCATTTGATGTGATTTATAATTTGATAAAAAAAACTGCAAAATGAGTTATTCCTGCTTTATTCATATGCCATGACTGAAATAGATATCAATTTGGTCCACACCTGAAACATAAATCCTAAACGCAAATTATTGACCAAAATGTTCAGAGCAGCAACTACATATTCATATGATGTTAAGCTCAGTTTAAACAAATAAAAACTACAAATTCAAAAGGTTAGTTACCTTCAAAAGTTCATTTTTCTCAAGGGTTTCAACCAAGGCAGTGACAACAGTAGCAGTGACTCCAGACTTTCCGACCTGTTGAGACTTGAGCTTCTTCCCCAGGCTGTGTGCATAAGAACCTAACTCTTTCTTCTCCTTCACGGTGAGGCCCTGAAGCTTCGTATGCAGCCTCCGATTTTCGGGAGATTCGGCGGTGACAGGTACTGCTTCTGGTTCTTGAGCTTCCTCAGTCCCATCAGAATCGATTTCTTCCTCTATTTCTTCAACGAAATTTTTAAATTGAAGAAGGGCTTGAAGTTTTGGGTTTGTGGAGAAATGGCGATAATCTGTAGACGATAAATGGGGGCTCACGGATGGGAAGATAAGCGGCGACGCTAGAGAAGGGATTCGGAGAAGATGTTTAGGGCGGAGAGAAAAGCAGCAGAGGGGAGGGGTGTTTGGTCGGAGCAGACGGCGGAATATCATCAGTGGGACGGCGGAAGAAGGCGAACCTGATAACGTTACCGAACTCATTGTTGTGTTGTTAGTTTCCACAGTTTTGTTTTAAAGTTGCAGTGTAGTGGAATGCAAATAATTTTACGAATTAGAGTCAGGTAATACCAAAACCTCTTTATCAAATCATAATTTATTTATAAAAGAGAGATTTACCTAAATAGGACTAAAACATGGTTAAAACTCCAAAGTGGGACATTAAGTTTTTTATTACCTAAATAGGACTTTTAATTACCGATCGGACAAAATTGCCCTTCTTAGTTCCTGCTGCAACAATTCACTGGGTGCGATGAAAGTCGTTTGCGAGTTGCGATGCACAGATGAACGGCTCCCCAGGTAAGTTTCTTCCGATCTTTTTCTTGTACTCATCTCTTAATTTCTTCTCAAGCTCCCTTGTTTTCTTCTTCTACAGGTCTTCTATTTTCTTCTTCTTTTGGATTTCCAAGTTTTTATAATCCTGAGTAATTTATTTTTAAAAGATTCATATTATTGTTCTAATCACTTCAATCTGAAAAATGACATAGTTGATCTTTAATTGAACACTAATTTGTAATAATGTCACTTTCATGACATTACATTTGCTAAGGTGACAATTTCAAAGAAGAAAATGACATTTCCAGAGTAATAATGTCACTTTCATGACATTTTCAAAACAAAAGTGACATTTTCAGATTGTCATTCTAGTAAATAAACTGTCACAAACGTGACATTTTTTTCAAATAACCAATAATCTTGACATTCTCGGATTATAAAAGTGACATTTTACTGAATAAATAAATTCAAATTCAAAAAGTCCAAATTAATAAATAAAATTCAAATCCAAATAATTTAAAGAAGAGAACAGAGGACCAAAAATTTGAAGAGGATTAGAAGAAAGGAGAATCGGATTTTTCACAAGAAAAATAGAGGACAAAGAGGAAGGAGAAGGAGGAGATGAAGAAGAAGGGGAAGACGATACCTGGGATTGACGCAAATCGATATCGACGGTGGAAGAAGCATCGTCATAGAGAGGCAGCAGCGTAGAGAGGAAGCGTAGAGAGGAAGCGTAGAGAAGTGGTGGCGGCGATGGAGTACATGTTGTGGCGGGGAGAGATGTTTGCGAGAGAGAGGGAAGGCGCAGTGAGAGCTATTTGGGGAAAAAATCTGATTTAGGGATTAGGGGCAAAAAGGTAATGTGGAGTCCCATTTGAGAAATTTAAAACTTGAAGTCCTATTTTTGAGTTTTAACCATGTTTTAGTCCCATTTAATATAATTTCTTTTTATAAAATTATGGTTACAAAGATGGATCCGGATCCTCCGCCATACTTCAAAGCAAGGCAGGGTGCCCCGCTCCCGGGAACCGTTCGATCAAAACGTGGACGGTCGAGATTTCAACGCACAAATCCCTAAGCCTGGCCACCCGACGGCTCCCGAACACTCTTCTCCCATCCGACGCCCACCCGACGGCTCTCGAACACTCTTCTCCCATCCGACGCCCACCCGGCGGCTCCCGGACACTCTTCTCCCATCCGACGTCCACCCGACGGCCACCTGCGCGCAAGGCACTCTGCCGTGTCGACGCCTAATGAATTGCTTGATTGTATTTTGATTGTACGAAAAATTAAATTTAAATTATACGAAGTATTTTGTTAATATATAAGAGAGTTATAACGAGAACTCTTCTTATAATAAAAACTTCTTTAAAATGAAAAGAACACATATAAACAGGGACGGTGATATGGATATGCAGGGGGGCCTTGCCCCCTACTTTTTTATGTTTTTTTGGTACTAGTACTCCCTCCGTCCCTAAATTATCTTCAAACTTTCTTTTTTCGTCCGTCCCAAAATTATCTCCTCTTCCCCCTTTTAGCAAAAAATTTGTGGTTCACAACCATTCTTACACATTCTTACACATTTCTCTCTCCTCTGCACAACTCTCCACCACACAAATCCCACTATCTTAATAAATGTGCACAGCCGAAAAAGGAGAAAGATTAGGGACGGAGGGAGTATTAGATTAAATATGAAGTAATCCGAAAAAGTTGGGTAAGAATTACTTGGTAGAAGCATGCATTTGAGATGTTTCCGAGTAGAATTTTTTGATGGAAAATTACTGTGTTTTTTATATATATTTTTGCACAGTGTTTTTCAATAATTTATTTAACTGGCTTGTCAATTGAATTTTAAACCGAAATTTAGTACTCCGTATAAATATTCTACATATCATGAAGAACATTGTCACAAAATATCATCAAAAAAATTCACTCGAAAGTACTTCTAACTTAGGCAACCGTACGGTGGATCTAGTCAGGTACTTTTTACAGGATCATTCCTCATGAAATAAATCATGTAAGCTTTTGGAGCCGTCGGCCAAAAAAGGCTCCAGTAGACTAGATTTTATACTTAGTCAAATAAATCATGTACTCAGCCAATTCGAGACCTTATTTTTTACTGGGTCTCCCAAGCCCAAGACTTGGGAGCTCAAACCCACATTTTCCCTATAAATAGCCCCTAGGGGTAGTTATAGGGGATTGAGAAATATTAATTGCTTACTTTCTCTCTCTAACTCTCACTTCTCTCTAAGATTAATACTCTATCAAATCATATAATGGAAAAGGTTATTATCATTATAGTTTGAATATTTTAGTGTTTTATCTTTATTAAATTTTATATTAAAATAATATAAAGTTCATGGATATGATATACAGAGGTACTATTTCCAAATCGTGTATTTTCCCGCGCTGATCTATATGTTAATATGAGAGACATATTTATCGTGACTTGAACATTGTAAACCGTAAACTGAAGTTTGGTATTTGTATATGTTAGTACCAATACATATGAGAAAGAGGCAGATTAGAAACATATATGCATATAATTGTATATGCTCCCACCATGCATGAAAATATCCTCGTACTCTAATGGCTCTATTATCATACGGATAGTTTTCAGCCTAACGATAAACGTGCACGCATCCTTATGGATTACGAACATTATCACAGGTAACATTTTTTTAATAGAAAATATAATTGCCATTTAAATTTACATATTCATTTTATTATCAGTAAAGAATAATTCAATTTTCAAATATAATTAAAAAAAATCTAAACTGTGTGTTCGGCTTTGTATGTATGATTTTCATATATATCACTTTCAAATCTCTCTGCACGGGTATTTAAATAAGGAATTAAATTGTGAGTGATTGTAGACGGGTGATATGTGAATATGTATAAACTCTTAACAGCCATGTTACCTATAAAATTAAAATATACGAGTAGTAGTTATTATTCGCAACTTTGCCATTTACACGGCCAATGTGGCTTCCCATGTTTTGACTATAATGGTTCATTACATTTATTCATTGAATCGGTTTGGATATAACTATCATCTCTAAGTACTTATGAAGTAAGGTACTTTGATTGAAAATGATATCTAATGTTGCAAGTTAAAGCAATTGAAATTTTATTGATTCCAATATTTTCAAACCAAACTACTTTATTGAAAACTACATATAACATTTTTCCCATTAGTAATTTACTATGCCGACAAACCAATTATAATATTTTAGCTTAGTAACCATGTTAGTTTTTCGAGCTTGGGTTCACTTATGATCAAGTGTCATTATGAGTTTCACAATATATTTTTAGTTTATTATTTAGTGCTAAAAACTATTTAACTATATCACTATTTAGTGCTAAAAACTATTTAAATACTTACTCTTCTACGATACAATTATACAAGTCTTCTTTTTCAGTGATTATATGCTATTATGAGAGAGAAAATATAACGCATGACAGAGGTAGTAATGTTTTTACTTTATTAATTGATTATGTTTGAGTTTATTACGTTGTCGTGAAACCTCTTGATATGTGAGTTATGCGCATGCATTAGCCTCCTATAGTTCAAAAAATACATTAAAATCTCATTTATTATATATGATAAGTCATGTGTATATTATTCTATAAGAAATTAAAAGTTGCATAAACAAAGTTTTCACTTTTTTATTATATTTAGACACTTGGGGGAATCTATGTGTATTTTTATCCTAACACTACGATAGGAGTTTATGTGCATGTTTGATATTTATCCTTTTACATAGGAAGAATGTGGTGATGTTTTTACCTTATAATTGATTAGAAATTCTTAATTTTATTACATCGTTTGAAAATCTCAATATGTAAGTTATGCGCATTAATCCCTTGTGATAAAAAAATACATCAAAACCTGATGTGTTATGACGAGTCGTGCATATATTACTCTAGAAGAACAAATTGTATTATACTATCGTATAAAACATTAGTCTTTATTATTTTTATAATATTTAGACATATAGACGAATTCGTGTGCATGCTCAGTCATAATACTAAGAAATGAGTTTCTAAGTTTTAAATTTGTCATTCTAGTCAACTATATGATGTGTGTTATTCATCATAATGTAAGGGGGTCGTAGCGCATTGTTTAGATCAAAATAGGATTATGTACATAATTTATATATAAGGACGGCTTTTGCAAACTAAATCTTTTGCCCATGCTTATCTATATTCAAAAAAATTAAGAATCGTTTATAATTATATTACAAAGTCGCATATGAAAGTACAAATGCCACGTCGGGGAAAACTCAGGCTAAATACTAGTTTTTGGAAAAGCTAGCTTAGCTTCCAAACTTCTAAATCTGTTATTAGAGTTGCATTGCAGTACATTTCCTTGTGAACTAAAGGTAGATCTATGGTAGAAAAAGGCATAGTGGTAGAAAAAGGCATAATGTATATTATGCTAGAAATGATTCATATGGTACAACAACAACAACATCCAAGCCATAATCCCAAAAGAATTTGGGGTCGGCTAACATGAATCGATCTATGATATAGATGCCAAAAAGAGAAGGCGGACAAGAAAAGAAAAAAAAGTAAGATAAAATGAATAAAATAAAGATACATAAATATAAGATAACAATAACACAAGAATATAACCAAGATAAAAGAAAAATAAATAAAAGAGCATAAAAAAGCTATAAGATAAAAATAACATAAGAATATAAAGGATAAGGAAGATAAACGATAGAAGAAACAAGAGAGGAAAGGTAGACAAGACATCAATCATCCACATAAATTGTATGTGGCTCTTTCTCGTGTTACTAAAAATACTTGGACCAAAGAAGGTCAAAGTACCAATGTAACAACAAATGTTGTTTTTAAAGAAGTATTTCACAATCTGTAAACATTAATAACTTTCATTTGGTGATTCACTACCAATTTAGTAATGTTTTTCTTACTTACTTATAATATGATAGATTTTAACTTTCATTTGATAATTAGTATTATTAAATTACAAGCAATGTACTCTTATATATCAAATTATTATGTACTACGTAGTATACTAGATGTGCGATTCATATTAATAAAAAATCTATTCTTTAAGATGTATAATTTTTCCCGTGCATCGCACAGGTATAATACTAGTTTCATTAAAGGTAGAATATAATAGCAATGACATTTAGTTCTATTTGTGCTTAAAAGTAATCGGAGTCTTATGGATGCATATCTAGTGTTTTTTACTCCCATTTACGACCAATTTCCCAATCTTAATACTAGTGTTTTGATTCTATTTTAAACTATTTCTAAATTAATCTTTGGCTAAAACAAAGCGCCGCTGATGCCTTGATGGGATTCTTGTTTGGTGCAAAGCATTATTAACTCTTGAGAGCAAATTATTTTAAACAGAAACACGCGCGGGCTAATTTCTTCCACTACTCCACGTTACCACGTCACTTCTTCTTGCATTCAAAATAACGGGGACCCCACCCGCACCGTTCACTAATCCTTTCGCCCCCACGCAAGTCGTCCGTAAAAGGTAAATCCGGAGCATAAGTAGGAGGACAATTACACATTTACACTACTTTTTACTCTGACAGAAACAATTCAAACCTGCGTTGAAGATCCGTCATTTTCACTCTACTCTTAACTCCTCCTCTCTGCATCTCTGGTGTGTATTCGAAGGAAACCTTCCATCTCTATCACTATCTGAATCTGTATTTCTCTATAGTTCAGTTTACAGATACAGCCATCCTAGCTCACTATAGTGTTAAACTCAAAGCGTGCAGAAGAATCAAACATGGCACAATGCTCTTTGCTTTTACCATCCGCGCCATGTGACCTCTGACACATTATTCTTCTGCTTTCTCGCTCATCCTATTAGCTCATTGGACGATTTATTTGAACTTCGCTGGAGAGCTGGGAGCGATGGCCGCGTCTACGTCAAGAGGACGGAGTAGCTCACCGTCTCATCACCGGAAGCCGTCGAGTCCGCACTCTTCCTCCTCGTCTTCTTCGTCTTTCATGAACGGTAGGCTTATGCCTCGCTCGTGCTCATCCTCGGTGACTTCGTTCTGCGGCTTAGCTAATGGGCACAAGTCCAGATCCAGGACGCCCACACGGAATCGGAGTGATTCGGGGTACTCACGAGAATACGGAAATCACACACAAGTGCATTATCCGTCGGCGGATGAGCTGCTTGCCGAGCAGGCTGGTACGTCTGGAGCAGGGGATAGCATATCTGTGACGATCAGGTTTCGGCCATTGAGGTAAGTTCTAGATCTGCTTAGTTTGAATTTGATCTATCTGACGGTGTATTGAAGGAGTTTTTAGACAATGTGTTGATATTTTTCCAATTATTGAACTTCTGGTGCCAGTGACCGGGAATACCACAGAGGGGATGAGGTTGCCTGGTATGCAGATGGTGATAAAATTGTACGGAATGAGTACAATATGGCTACTGCTTATGCATTCGGTACTATTTGAGCTACCCTTGGTTGTTTAAGTTGTTAATTCTAATTGAGCTAATGGCTACGTCTTTGCTTAGCCACAATATGCAGTAAGCTAAGCATTCCATTTTTCCAGTTTGAATTGGCTTAATTTCACGTTCTAATCAATAAATGCATTTGCTACTCTTTTTGTAGATAGAGTGTTTGGGCCTGATACAAGTACTCAGGAGGTTTATGAAGTAGCTGCCGGACCAGTGATCAAGGCTGCAATGGAAGGGATAAATGGTATGAAAACTGATACTTAAATACTAAATCTCACAATTGTAAATTGTATAGTATGTGATTGTACACAGGTAACAACTAGTCTTGTGAACTTGCCATAACAGAAATGACAAACAGAATGTGGAGCTATGCAAACAGAAATTTATTAACATTTTATGAATTAATAATCAACTATAAGAAATATACTGACAGTTTGGCACCCTTACTTTTAGTTCATGTGTCTATAACATCATTGTTATTGTTGCAGGGACTGTATTTGCTTATGGCGTAACAAGTAGTGGAAAGACGCATACTATGCACGTGTGTTGTTTTCTCAGCTTCGTTTTATTATACTTCTGCATGTGTTTAAATGGGAGAAATTCTATATGGCCATTACTTCTTTTATCAAATACATATGTACAAATTAATTTTAGTCTTACACATATGACATATCTGTTTATACTAATATACTGATTTGAAAATTATGGTCTTTCCTTTTTCGCCAATAGTACTTAATTTCATGTTTGTTTTCCAAGAATATGAGTTTTGAAAGTAATCGACTTTGAGGTGCTGTTTTTTACACTACAGGGAGATCATAGTTCACCTGGAATAATTCCACTTGCAATAAAGGATGTCTTCAGCATTATTCAAGATGTAAGTTCTTACGAGTTCATCTTATCTTGAGATTTTTTTTCCATGTCTCATTCCCTTAACTCATAGACATGTGAAATGAGGATCTATAATGTGCATCCGGATGTACTGTAGTTATATATCCCTAGTACATCCAAATGAGCCAAATGAATGTTTTACAGATACAAAATAAGTTTATATATATTCACATGAGCATTATGTAGAATCAAAATGAGCACAACATATAAAACAAGTACAAAGAAATGAGTATTCTCCAAATGCAAAATGAGTGAAAAAAGGTAAAAAGGGCAGGGCAGTGCACATTGGCATCCCCACAAAGTGAGGTACCGCGGAGGTTCCCCTGATTCTGTTAGGCACTGGTAATTCAACCAGCAAAAGCAGTAAACAAGCTCACAGATCTAAGCAGAAATGTAGATAAACTGAAGTTTATTGATATGGGGGATAATCCGTAGGTAACAACAAGGCAACCGGGACAGGGACTTCTTAGGCAACAAGGCAACACACAAATCAAAATAACCGTCCCCTATTATGGCTACCCCAGCTTCTATTTATAGCAAACATCCACGCAGGGACTAAATAGACAACTAAATAAGCTATAGGCACTTTAAAAGCTATTTAACTCCCCTAACCCCCTTATTTAAAACTACTGATTAGACTGATGCCTAACATTACTCCCCCCCTAAACAACCACCTTGCTCTCAAGGTGGGTGATAGGAGTCAGCCATGATCTTCCGCTTGCACTTCATTCTTGCACCTCTCCCTTCCCAATACCTCCCAGATTTTTGGACATTTAGCTCACGTACTTGAAATTGCATCTTCCTGTTCTTCACTGCAAGGAACAGAAACAATATCTTGGTGCCAGAATACTCCCTGTTGCTGCAAAAGTGAGAATCTCGCTGCTGCTGCATCATAGGCAAAATATAGGTGTAAACTACTTGCTGAACAGTTCCATCAAGAGTGTGCAGTCCATCCAGCCACTTTTCATCAACTTTGATATTACCAACACTTTCTGGCTATAAGGATAAATCCATGAGATGCTCTCTGGTGTAGACCTCTAAAACAACAGCCTGAGTAATAGAATCCAGGCCCTCACTGACTTTATCCAACTGGTATGCAAGATTAAACTCCTCATCCCCTCTCAGTTTAGAGTTAGAGGAATCCTGAATTGAAGAAAGTATCAAACTGTCGCCCTTAACTACCATTTCATTGGAGTAAGTGAGGATTGATCCTTCAATTTCCCCAATCAGTAGATCATTCTTCCCCACTTGCTTTGCTAAAGATCCCAATTCCCAATTCTTTTCTCTTTTCCTGAGTATCTGAACCCATGGATCATCAATTGCCATAAAAAAACTAAGGTCCAAACCTGCACCTTCCCTTTGAACTAGTATACAATCTATCAACATTCTCCTTACATTCTCACCCATGATCAAAGCCGCCTGGGGAATAGCTGAATTGAATTCATTATCAATCACCAGGAAGATGTCAACGAGTCCATCAGTAATATAACCAACCTTCTCATTCCAAATTCCAGTAATTCTTACCCCCACACCTTTTTGGACATACTTCACAGAAATTTCATCCTCAAATCTGTAGCCATCAAACTTATGCAGCCCTTCCATAACTTCACTTGCTATTACCAACCTTGAGACCTCATTCTCTGCTGGCATTTCTGTTTGCAAAGGCTCTCCATTATTAACAAATGACTCAAGCATATCACCTTTACCAACCAATAGTTTTACAAGTAAGCCGCGGTTTGACCTTTTCCACAATCCTTCAGTATTGGCCACTATCAAGGTAGAAACTGAAGAAGAAAGTTTAGCAGCGTAGGTTTTCCACAGGTGTCCACCATTGATATACTCATATCCATCTCCATCATCTTCAGAGAGAGAACCTTCAGTTATACCTAGTTTCTCCAGAAAAGAATTGTCAGCTTTGGTAGCCCTCGGAGCATCCTCTATTTTCTGGAATGCATCATACCTTCCATTTACTGCCGATGAAACCCGATGCAAACTCTTATGTAAATTCTGCCAATGGACTTCACCTGAGGCATCCTTTGCACAAGGGACATAGAAGTTGACCGCATTCTTTTGTTCTTGTCCATGAGCTCCTTCTTCAGCTTGTAACATGTGTGCAGGTTCCCTTGTTAGTCCTGAGCCACAGGAGTTCTTCAAAATAGTAAGATGCCCGACTAACTTCCTCTTTGGTGCCACCTGATAACTGGAGTTTGATTCAGAGATCGGATATAATCCACAATCCTTAGTAGCATCAGTATCTGAGCGGATCATTCCCTGAAGCTGCTTTCCATCATTACCCTCTTCTATTTTCTCAGTTTCCTCCTTGTTCATACCCATCTCTTCTTTCCTGGCCTTCTTAGATGCTGTAGTAGATATTAAGTTGGACTGCCAAGGTATAGCAATTCCTTCGGGACTGCATTTATCAGCTCAGCACCTTTATAGATTTCAGGAAGCCAGGAGGAGGAGCGAGGAAGTCAAAAGTGACCTCGATGACATTCGCGAGCTGCTGAGACATAAACATCGCCATCATTCCCGCGAACGATCATCGCACTCTAAGGCGAGTACTAGACATGGAAGCAGTGACTCACGTTCAATCTCAGGTAGTCATCGATCCCCTTCCTCCAAACCGATTGATAACCGACGTAGTTGGATGGAGAAATCTGGAAGAAAAGTTGATTTACCTTTATTTAATGGCACTGATGCATATGGTTGGACTATTAAGGTGGAGCGTTTTTTTAAATTGAATCAAATTGATGAGGAGGAGAAGGTTGATCTAGTAACTCTGGCCATGGAGGGAAGGGCTTTAAACTGGTATCACTGGTGGGAGGAGCACTCGAATGTCAGAACCTGGGAATTGTTTAAAGGGGCTCTGTTGGAGAGATTTGAACCAGGATTGGATCAGGATCCATATGGTCCATTATTAAATCTCAGGCAGACTGGAAGTGTGATGGAGTACAGAGATGAGTTTGAATTGGTGTCAGCACCTTTGAAAAACACTGACGTGCAAATGCTTAGGGGGATTTTTATGAAAGGATTGAAGCCTGAGGTTAAAGCTGAATTGAAGAAGAATCCTGTTAGAACACTGACAGAAGTCATGAATAAGGCTTCGAGGGTAGAAGAGAGTAATGCTATCCTCTGTTCCAGCAGGCACAGGGAAGATGATAGGAGAGGAAACAAGGGGACTGTTACCAATCCACCTCAAAGGTGGTTGAGTGAGAGCAAATGGAAGAGTACAGTGACCAGTCAACCAGGGTCTGAGAAATATCATGCAGAAAAGAAAAATGAGACTGGAAACAGTGGAGTGGGAGTAAGAGGCACTCACAGGCTATCTCAAGCTGAGCTTCAGGAATTAAGCAGAAAAGGCCTTTGTTTCAAGTGTGGGGAGACTTGGGGCAAGGGACACATCTGTAAGATGAAGCATTTCCAAATTGTGATGATAGATGATTCTGAGGGGGAAGAGGAGGCAGGAGACAATTATTTGGCACCCATACCTGAAGAGGAAGGACCTGAACCTTCAACCATGCAGCTATCATTGATGAGCAAAGAGGGGATGACCACTCCCAGGACTTTCAAGGTCAAGGGAGAAGTGCAGGGACTCAGAGGAAGTAAGGAGATAGTAATCCTTATAGATTGTGGAGCCACTCACAATTTCCTATCTCCCAGAGTGGTAAAGGAAGTGGGAATCCCTATTATTCAAATTCCTGAGTTTAAAGTGGAAATAGGGAATGGGGACCTCATTAGAAACAATGGAAGGTGTGAAGCCATCACTGTGAAGTTGCAGCAGCTAGTTATAACTCAAGATTTCTACATTTTGGAGTTGGGAGACACTGAGATGGTTTTGGGAATGGATTGGCTAGCAGGGTTGGGAAATGTGGAATTCAATTTCCATAACCTGTCTTTGAAATGGGTCCAAGATGGTCAGTTGAGATGTCTGATGGGAGATCCAAAAGTGAGCAAGACTGAAGTATCTTGGAAAAGCTTGACCAAGAGGGCATTCAAGGATGAACAAGAGTACTGCCTTCTTCAAACTGAGGTTAAAATAAATGAAGATAACCAAGTCAGTTTGGGGTGGATTCAGAGGATCAAAGCAGAAGGTCCTGAAGTTTTCAAAGCCTTGGAGGGTCTACCTCCTAGAAGAGATTGTGACCATACTATTGTGATTAAGGAAGGAGCCAATATACCCAACATTAGACCCTACAGATATCCTCAATACCTGAAGAATGAGATGGAGAAAGTAATACAGGAATTGTTGAATGATGGTATCATCAGAACCAGCCCCAGCCCCAGCCCCAGCCCCTACAGTAGTCCAGTTTTGATGGTAAAGAAGAAAGATGGAGGATGGAGATTCTGTGGAGATTACAGGGCCCTGAACCAGATTACAGTCCCTAATAAGTTCCCTATTCCCATTATAGAGGAGTTATTGGATGAGTTGAACAATGCACAGATCTTTTCTAAATTGGACCTCAAGTCTGGTTACCATCAAATTAGAATGAAAGAGGAGGACATCCATAAGACAGCTATAAGGACTCATGAAGGTCACTATGAGTACTTGGTCATGCCTTTTGGGCTTACCAATGCCCCCTCTACCTTCCAGAGTTTAATGAACCAAGTACTGAAGCCTTACCTGAGGAAATTCACATTGGTGTTCTTTGATGACATACTCATATACAGCCACACAGAGGAAGAGCATTGGGAACATATACAGAAGGTGTTACAGCTGATACACTCCAATCAGTTAGTGCTTAATGAGAAAAAGTGTTCTTTTGGGCAAAGGCAGTTGGGGTATTTGGGGCACATTATATCAAAGGAGGGAGTTGCAGCAGATCCTAGCAAGATTGAAGATATGATCAGCTGGCAGTACCCAACAGATGCTAAAAGTTTAAGGGGATTTCTGGGTCTCACTGGTTATTACAGAAAATTTGTAAAAGGGTATGGGAAGATTGTAGCTCCTTTGAATGATTTGCTTAAGAAGGATGGGTTCAAGTGGAACCCTGAGGCTCAGCAGGCTTTTGAAGATCTGAAAAGGAGAATGACTCAACTACCAGTGCTGAAAATTCCAGATTTTAATCAGACTTTTGTAATAGAGTCTGATGCTTCAGGAAAAGGAGTAGGTGCTGTCTTAATGCAGGAAGGCAGACCTGTGGCTTATATGAGTAAAACTCTATCTCTCAGAAATCAAAGTAAGTCTGTTTATGAGAGGGAGTTGATGGCTATAGTTTTGGCTATTCAAAAATGGAGGCCATATCTATTGGGAAGGACCTTTGAGGTGCACACTGATCAGAAGAGTCTAAGGTTCTTGACTGAGCAAAGAATTCTGGGGGTGGACCAGCAGAAATGGGTGACCAAACTGTTAGGGTATAACTTTGTCATCAAGTACAAGCCTGGGGTGCAAAACAAGGCTGCGGATGCATTATCTAGAAAGGGTAATCTGTATTCCCTGTCTGTGGTAACCTGCCAAGAATGGGAAGGTTTAGAGTGTGAGCTGATGGAGGATAACAAATATAAGTATATGATTCAGAAATTAGGGGTTGAGCCAGACTCCATTCCTAATTTCATCCTCAAACAAGGACTTCTCTATTTCAAGGGCAGATTGGTAATTCCTAAACACTCAGCAAGGATTCACAGCATCTTCAAGGAATTTCATGAATCTGCCATAGGGGGACATGCTGGAAATTTCAAGACTATGAAGAGGATATCATCTTTGTTTTATTGGGAGGGGATGAGAGCTGATATCCAACAGTTTGTGCAGCAGTGTGAAATATGCCAGAGAAATAAATACCAAGCTCTGAGTCCAGCCGGATTGTTACAGCCATTGCCCATTCCAACTCAGATTTGGACTGATCTGAGTATGGATTTCATTGGAGGACTGCCAAAAGCCCAAGGGAAAGACACCATTCTTGTTGTGGTGGACAGGTTGACTAAATTTGCACACTTTATAGCATTATCACACCCATATAGTGCTAAGAGTGTGGCAGAAATCTTCATTCAAGAGGTGGTTAGACTGCATGGGTTCCCTAAAACTATAGTCTCAGATAGGGACAATGTTTTCTTGAGTGTTTTTTGGACTGAATTATTTAAGCTGGCTGGAACCAAGTTGAAGTTCAGCACTGCCTATCATCCCCAGACTGATGGGCAGACTGAGGTGGTCAACAGGTGTGTTGAGACCTATCTGAGGTGTATGACTGGGAGGAAGCCTAAGCAATGGCCTCAATGGTTACCCTGGGCAGAGTTTTGGTATAACACCAATTACCATGTGTCCACTAAAAACACCCCTTATAAAGCTTTATATGGCCAAGATCCACCAGTTTTGGTCAGGGGTGATGTCACTTCATCAGCTGTGGAGGAAGTGAACAGGTTGACAGCAGCAAGGAATGAAATAATAGCTGAATTAAAGAATAACTTGGCTCTGGCCCAAAATCAAATGAAACAGCAGGTTGACTTGAAGAGGAGGGAGGTTCAGTTCAAGGCAGGTGAATGGGTATATTTGAAGATACAACCATACAAGCTCAAGACACTGGCTAGGAGAGTGAATCAGAAGTTAAGCCCTAGATTCTATGGCCCGTTTGAAATCAGTGAGCAAATCAGCCCTGTGGCCTACAGATTGAACCTGCCAGATGGCTGTAGAGTTCATCCGGTGTTTCATGTGTCCCTGTTGAAGAAGGCAGTTCCTACCACTTCTACCATACAGCCCTTACCTAAATGTATAACTGAAGACTGGGAGTTGAAGGTGAAGCCAGAAGAAGTGAAGGAAAGTAGGGTAAATGATGCAGGAGAAATTGAGGTGCTGGTACACTGGGAACACTTGCCAGACTTTGAAGACTCTTGGGAGAATCTCAAGCAGCTACTGAAGCAGTACCCTGATCTCCACCTTGGGGACAAGGTGGTTGTTCCAGGGGGGAGTGATGATAGGGATGCTGGGAGCCAGTCCTATTTTGATAATAATATTAAGTATTTTGATCATGTATACTCAAGGAGGAATAAGGGTCATAATAAGTAGCTATATGTTACTAGTTATCGGATGGGGGGAATATTACTATAAATAGCTAGGTCCTTGTAATAATTGGCAGGCTGGTATTGGCTTGTATTGGGCTGAGACTTGGAGAGAGGCATCTCTTAAAACTGCCAGACACTATTTCTCTCTCTTGTTTGTTATACGATCTTCCTCCATTACTGTGCATTGTCCCTTTTTCTCCAATTCTGCTGCTAGATTAAACAGGTCCTCTGATCGTCAGCTCTGATACCAATGATAGGAAATCAGACCTGCGAACAATAATCTAGCAGCAGAATTGGAGAAAAAGGGACAATGCACAGTAATGGAGGAAGATCGTATAACAAACAAGAGAGAGAAATAGTGTCTGGCAGTTTTAAGAGATGCCTCTCTCCAAGTCCCAGCCCAATACAAGCCAATACCAGCCTGCCAATTATTACAAGGACCTAGCTATTTATAGTAATATTCCCCCCATCCGATAACTAGTAACATATAGCTACTTATTATGACCCTTATTCCTCCTTGAGTATACATGATCAAAATACTTAATATTATTATCAAAATAGGACTGGCTCCCAGCATCCCTATCAAACCACTTGGTTCTCCAATTCAGAACTATTTGGGCCAGCAATCTTGTGATCAGAAGATTTATATTCCATGACTGTCCAGGACTGAGTCACCCCAGAAGATTTCTCCTCTGGTCTTTCCTCATCCTCAATGGATTTGAGTCGCAAGTATTCTTCCATCTTAACTATCCATTTGTCTACTTTATCTCCATTAAACCAGGGTAATTCAACCTTGCTTCCCGAGCCAATATCTCTTCTACTGCTATCCTGACCCATACTAGAGTGAGAGTGATCGTATTTACCTTCCGACGCAGCTAGACGCTCAGATTCCTTTGTTCGTGGATGTTGAGAGTTGGCCCGTTGTGAAGCTGATTGCAAGGGAGATGAAGATCTGCGAGTAGAATCAGTTCGCAATGAGCTGGGAGATGACGTTGTTGGTGACGGCGAACTGTGTGAAGCTAGAGATGAAGTCTGCGAACGGGAAGATGAAGTTCGCGATTGTAAACTGGAATGATATGTGAGCGTCGATCTCTGCGACTGCGAACTGAGGGAGGAAGTTCGCGACTGACCCTGCGCATTTCGCGATGCACTGGAAGACTTCGTTCGCATCTGCGAACTGTTAGAAGCCGGACGATGCGATGATCGTGATCTTCCCCTTTGTTCCTTCTTCACGGCTGTAGATGTTGAAATCGCTGCCATAGAATCCGCGATGCACTTCTGCATCTGTGCGGTCATGGAAGCTGCGAGGTTTGCCATAGCCGTCTTCATCTCCAGTTCGAACTTATCCAAGCGAGCCTCCATTTCTGGTGTCCAATCTTCTTCCACCCCTCTAGATCGTTGATGCTGTTGATCGATCGATTAGGATGCCAGGAAGGAGTGCTCTGATACCAATGTTAGGCACTGGTAATTCAACCAGCAAAAGCAGTAAACAAGCTCACAGATCTAAGCAGAAATGTAGATAAACTGAAGTTTATTGATATGGGGGATAATCTGTAGGTAACAACAAGGCAACCGGGACAGGGACTTCTTAGGCAACAAGGCAACACACAAATCAAAATAACCGTCCCCTATTATGGCTACCCCAGCTTCTATTTATAGCAAAAATCCACGCAGGGACTAAATAGACAACTAAATAAGCTATAGGCACTTTAAAAGCTATTTAACTCCCCTAACCCCCTTATTTAAAACTACTGATTAGACTGATGCCTAACAGATTCCCCCTGCAATCGTGTATACTGTATACTTACATTGCGTAGTACAAAAGTACCTAGATGTAAACTTACATGCGGATGTATCATGTATGATATAACTTTCCCTGCCCTGGGACGCATCAATACATTGATGATTGAACTCACAGTGATTAATTTTCTGCATTTAATGTTGGCCAGGAATGTATTTTCTATCCCAATCTTTCTCCCTAGTATGATATACCTGGATAAATGAGAGTGCAATACCATGTTTTTTAAAAAGTGAGCCTACTTTTTTCCCCACTGAGTTAAAGTAATTTGGTTTCAGACTCCTGGCCGTGAATTCTTGCTTCGAGTTTCATATATTGAGATCTACAACGAGGTATGTTTATTGCAGCTGCCATTCTTTTCTTTATTTCTGTGATATTTTGATTGAAAATATGAACTGCTCTGAATCATTTTATAAGAGTTGCCTATTTTTCTTATTAACTTAGTATATACGGAGTATATATTTATTAATATGTGTTTGCTTTTGGAACTCAGCATAAACATGTATGTTCAATGAAGACTAAATCACACTTTCTTTTGATTTACTGTATAATCTGCTCATATAATGGGATGGCTGCATCTGATTTTCATTGCTATTATACAAGGTAATCAATGACTTGCTTGACCCCACCGGCCAGAATTTGCGTGTTAGAGAAGATGCTCAGGTTTTTTATACCTTCTCCCACGTTCTCATAAAATTTTGATATTTAACCATGCAGTCATGCACATAGAAATATGAATTTCTTTAATAAATTATAAATGATGACAAAGAGATTTCAAATGTTTTTTAATGCCTGTAGAGCTTTGACATTCACCGTAGAGCTTAACACTGCTATCATTAATGTTTCTACTTTTTTTTATGTCTATACGTGTATAGGGTACTTACGTGGAGGGTATAAAGGAGGAAGTTGTTTTGTCTCCGGGTCATGTACTGTCTTTCATTGCTGCTGGAGAAGGTATTATGTGATATATGAATTTATCTGGTATCAACTTTTAATAATCCTGAATTTCTTAAAATAGAACTGATTTGCAACTTCTTGCATATGAGCTTAAGTATTGTCTCATAACTGCAGAGCATCGTCATGTTGGCTCAAATAACTATAATCTGTTTAGCAGCCGCAGTCACACAATATTTTCACTTGTAAGCGTTTTTTTGGTGTGTTGTGTATGTATCTTTGATTGAATTTGATCTTGATATTTGAAAGCCAACTGGGCTTTTCTTCACATTTGGCGTTCCATTTCTGTTTGTGTTTTCCTGTGTATTTTTGCTCTTGTCAAGTCAAATAACTTTGATCTTTTGTCTTTCTTGCTATAATGCTCAGATGGAAGGTTTATGCAGTTTCATTCTTAGTAGTATTGTGGTTTGTTATTTTTGACATCATTGCCGTCTCTTTATGCAGATGATTGAAAGTAGTGCACATGGAGATGACTATGATGGAGTGATATTTTCTCAACTTGTATGTGTATAAGATTTGTTTCTCAGATTAAATTCTCTCCCATACTTAATTAGCAACTTATGAATTTGATTTTCCTTCAATGTAGAACTTAATTGATTTAGCTGGATCAGAGAGCTCAAAAACGGAAACAACTGGATTGAGAAGAAAGGAAGGATCTTACATAAACAAAAGTCTTTTGACTCTTGGAACTGTAAGTACTAAGCAACAAATGTTATAATATGGATTCTCTTAAAACTGAGTATTGACTTATTTTTTGTACTTGTTAATGCTTTATGCAAACATTTTCTCAAGTGTGTCCTCCCACCTGGAGCACTATGCCTAGGATGGGAATGAGTTCCTCAGAAAGTCTCACTCTAAGAAAATAGTTATATACATTCACTTTATTATCTATGTGATGTCCTTGTCTGTTTATATTTTCTAGGTTATTGGAAAGTTAAGTGAAGGAAAGGCATCCCATATTCCATATCGAGACTCAAAGCTTACACGCCTTTTACAGTCTTCCTTGAGTGGGCATGGACATGTTTCTGTAAGTGCAATGCAAAAAAATGGCCTTTCAACCCCCCCCCCCCCCCCGGGGGGGGGTATTCCTTTCAACCTTCTATTTATTATTTGTAACTGATGGGGTGGATTGAAGGTAAATATATTTCAATCCCATTATTTCTCTCACATGCCATCTTCTTGATACTCAGCTCATATGCACAGTTACTCCTGCATCAAGCAATATGGAGGAAACACACAACACTTTAAAATTTGCGAACAGGGCTAAATGTGTTGAAATATATGCCTCACGCAATAAGGTTTGCTTATTCATAGTCTTTAAAAAGGTGTCCTTGTTTAAATTTCTGGGTGGGGATATTTAAAAGTTTGTATGCACACATTTTCCAGATTATTGATGAGAAGTCATTGATTAAAAAGTATCAAAAAGAAATATCATGTCTCAAACAAGAACTTGATCAGCTGAGAAGGGGAATGCTTGTCGGTGTGAGTCATGAAGAAATCATGAGCTTAAGGCAACAGGTAGATTCCAAAGTTTGAGCATTTATTGTATGTTTTTGGCCACACATAAGGTGTATGAAGTGGCAACATATTATCCTTTTTGAACTTATAAGTTGTGATTGCTTAATAGTTGGAAGAAGGACAAGTTAAAATGCAATCAAGACTGGAGGAGGAGGAGGAGGCCAAAGCTGCTCTAATGAGTAGAATTCAGAGGCTTACCAAGCTAATACTTGTTTCTTCAAAGAATTCGATTCCTGGATATTTGGGTGATGTCTCCAGTGCTCATCAACAATATCATTCTCCTTTAGAAGATGATGTAGGTTACTCTTGCTAGCTCGTTTGATAAACTGTGAATTTCCAACCTTTTCGCTGTCTCTGGCATCTGGTTTAGTTGATCTCATACAAAATGTCTGCAATACATGACCTCAGTCTGATTAAGGGTTTAAGCTGTGCCTAGGTGTACATCACATTATGGAATAGGAGAATGCATTGCTAATCATCACCATGTTAATCCGAATTAGTTAACAATGCAAAATCATGCAGAAAAAGCAAATTGTAATGCACGGCGGATGCCTTTACTATTACAACCTTGCATCTCTCTCCAATGTGCATGTTACATGATCATTTATTGTTTTATCTTTATCCTTAATTCTGTCATATGGTTTAGTGAACCCTGCAGTCAACCTTATTTCCTCTCAAACCAAAGTTCTCTAATGGCTTTCTTTATGCTGTTATTTTAGTAAGCCAAAATCTGAGTTGCTATTTATTTTCCCTTTGACTAGAAGTTGGATGGTTTGCATGAGGGTCCTTTGCTCATAGACTGTGAGAATCAGACAGACCCCTCATCGGATACTTCTGGATTTAAACACAGAAGATCTTCCAGCAAGTGGAATGATGATATCTCACAAGCTGGGAGTACAATTACAGAATCAACTCAAGCTGGTGAACTTTTTAGTGTTTCATCACATGGTCCGAAACTGCCCATTGTATGTCACTATTGTCTTTCTTGTATGTCTTCAATACATGGAAATAGAATTTGTCCGGTGGGTGGGGTCATAAGGCTTGGGTGTTGTTGTTGTTGTGGGCAGGTCATACAGTATTAGCTGAATGCATTTTACATGTGATAGTGTCCATAACTTCTTATAGTTTTTATGTATATATGTGGTTATTGACCCTATATGTATCTTCTTCTGTCTGTGGCTATTTAGGAAGGGATCAGCATGGCAGATCAGATGGACCTTCTAGTTGAGCAAGTCAAGATGCTTGCTGGGGAGATTGCATTTGGCACTAGCACATTGAAACGCTTAAAGGAGCAGTCTGTAAATGATCCCGAAAACTCGAAAAGTCAAGTACGCCTTCTTTCCTGAAACTGAAAGGCACATGTATGTTACTATGATGAATTTAGTTATGTTACATCAAGTGTACTTTAACATCTAATTCGGCGTGGACAGCGCTAATTTATTTTAAAAGATATCTGCCATTACTGTTCACCGCTAACATGTTTTCTAAGAACAGTGTAGTATCAGTGATATTATATCTGCTTGAGTTTATATGTTAAATAACAAGGGTGGATATTTTATGTGTATTTCAGCATGACTTTATGTTGTAAACTGTAACCATAGGTTGCTTAAATTTAATTTCCATTTTGTGCTTATTACTTGCTGTCTGGACTCACAACAGCTGACTAATTTGTTATTCAATAGGTTGTAGCTCTTGAACGTGAAATTCAAGAAAAGAGAATGCAAATGAGGATTTTTGAACAACGCATTGTGGAAAGTGGGGAAGCATCTAGTGGTAGTGCATCAGTGGTTGAAATGCAAAAGGTCATCTCACGTTGTCCATCTGCTATTTGTTATAATTTTCCATTGCTGCAGAGCAAGGGCCTTAGCTCTTTATAAAGATACACTTTACATTAATATTTTGTCATATTTTTTCTTAATACAGACATTGATGAAGTTGACAGCTCAATGTAGTGAAAAGGGTTTTGAGCTTGAGGTCAGTGCACCAATTAATAAACTAAAATTTTCCATTCTCAATAAAAAGAATTGGTTAAACCTTCTTGTTGTGAGCATTTCAAGCAGCTTCATTATGCCTTCCTATATCATAGCCTTTAGTGTTTATCTTGTGTTGCAGATAAAATCAGCAGACAATCGTATCCTTCAAGAGCAGTTGGAGAGAAAGGTCCATCAAAGATGATTTTATGTCATTTTAGTTTCCTGATATTTGATTTGTATACTTTTTTCTTATATTAACTCAAATGGCTGCCATTTTATTATAACTCACAGTGCATAGAGAACAACGAACTGATAGAAAAAATCAGTCAACTGGAGCTGCAGTTAGCTGCAGTCAAGAATGACAAGATGCCCCCTTCTGAAAAATGCTTTTCAGATGACTACACTGATGAACTGAGAAAGAAAATTCAAACTAAGGTGGTAATCATTGGCTGAAAAATTATTTCTCAGAAAGTTAATAATTACTCTGTACAAAACCAATTAGGTGATTGGGCAATGTGCAGTTAGTTATTTAATATATTGCTTGCTAAGCAGGAAATTGAGAATGAAATGTTAAAGCTAGAACATGTTCAAATTGTAGAGGAGAACAGTGGTTTGCATGTACAGAACCAGAAGTTGTCGGAAGAATCATCTTATGCAAAGGAATTAGCATCTGCTGCTGCAGTTGAATTGAAGAACTTAGCTGAAGAAGTCACCAAGCTTTCACTACAGAATGCAAAACTTGAAAAAGAATTATCCGGAGCTTCTCGAGAGTTGTTGAGTTCCAGGAGTTTTAATATGCCGTCTGTTAATGGGGGAAACCGCAAGTACGGAGACAGTGCAAGGACAGGTCGTAGAATCCGCACAAGTGGCCGAGGAACAAGCGAAGTTAGCCTTGATGAATTTGATTCATGGAATCTGGACACTGAAGATCTAAAGAGGGAATTGCAGGCAAGGAAACAGCGAGAGGCTGCTTTAGAGTCTGCATTGGCTGAGAAGGAGACTATAGAAGATGAGTATAGGAGAAAGTTTGATGAGGCAAAGAAAAGAGAGGCTTCTCTGGAAAATGATTTGGCTAGTATGTGGGTGCTAGTAGCTCGACTTAAGAAGGAAAATGGTGCCGGACAAGAGGGGAAGATCAATGATGTTCAGAATGGGTTGGACCGTATAAATGATCCAAAAGTTAATGAAGTTGAATTCAAGCATCCTTTCTTGAATGATACCCAACCCATTGCATATACAGCTCCCCCATCTGAGAACCCAACCGAAGAACCTCTTGTTGCCCGCTTGAAGGTACTTTTTCCCACCTCAATTCCAAACCTGCATACGACCCTATGTTTGAATAAACCCATGAATAATAGGTAATATAAATAGAATTGAAATTAGTGTGGGAAACTAGAAGTGAAATTTTGAGTGGAGACTACAAAATATATTCTAGCTCAATAAGTTAATCTTAGATATTTCTTTGAACTCATTTGACTTATTTGGTTCTTCTATAAATACAATGAAAAAAATGGTATACTTCCCATAGTATTTCATATTTCATTCGTGTTTTCAGAAGTAGTAGCAATATAAAAAGTAACTTTCCTTAGGTATGTTACCTTTCAAGTATTTTCATTTTTTCCATGTTCCACACATTTTAACGTCTTGTTAGCCGGCCCCAAACTCTTTTGGGACTAAGGCTCAGATGTCGTTATATGGATGCACCAGAAATGAATAAGCTAACGTCCATATTAAAGAAATTATGCACCAGCTGTATAGAACTCTGGTGGAGTTTGATAGACACTATGCAATGTAATGTAACTAAGTTCATGTGTAATGTAAATTCGCACTAAGCTAAAGTTTGATATGTTGAAATGGAATATAAAAATACACTAAAAACATATTTGATTGATATTTTTCTGTTTATGAAGTGTTACCTAACAATTAATTTAATTACATATTATCAAACTGCACGTTTGTGTTAAATTCCTGGCGTTCCCTTTTCTGCAAAAGGAAAGAAAGAAAATAATATCATGATGCTCTTGTTTTAATCATATCACTCCTGTAGGCTAGAATGCAAGAGATGAAGGAGAAGGAGCACAGGTATATGGGGAGTGGGGATGCAAATTCGCATGTATGCAAAGTGTGTTTTGAATCTCCTTCAGCTGCAATGCTCCTTCCTTGCCGTCATTTTTGCTGTAACTCCCATCTGCACATTTTACTCTCTATGTACCATGCTGTGCTTGTCGTTTAGTTTGATCCATTCATGTACTCATTCATCATTGCAGTGTGCACGTCATGTTCCCTTGCTTGTGCTGAGTGTCCGCTTTGCCGGGCAAAGATTACCGATAGGATATTAGCTTTTACTTGAAAAGAGTTATATTACTAGTCACATTTCATTCAGAGAGTGAGGTGGGTATACATTTATACTTGGTACAAATTTGAAGTAATAGAAGACATTTTCTTCAAGGTGGTGAACTAATACAGTCAGTTTCTCTGTTCCTTTTTTTTTCAGGGGGATTCTTCCTTAACATTTATGTGGTACAGGCGTACAGCATGCAATTCTTTGATTAGTTGAAACACTTGAATAGTACTACGTAACTTGGAGACGTGTTTCTACTTTTATTTATGTATTTCTCCACCCCACCATAAGCAACTGTAAAATAAGAAACCGTGTAAATGAGGAAGTGAAGAGAGGGAAGAGAGTTGAGTTTGGCATGTGAAATGGTGTTTGCCATCTCAACAACATTTCAACAAAAAGAGCAAGTCCAAGTTTTGGGGAATGGCCATTTTCATTGTCGTGATGTGGGATGCCCATCAGTACTTTAATTAGGAAATCAAACGTGATTTATGTCATAGACACGACACGCTCACCACACACTAACGGATCAAGGGTGGACTACGATCAAGAACCGGACAAAACTGTAATTAATTGGATAGAAATGAACACCCCTTTCCGTTTTACATGTTAAAAGACTCAAAACTGGTTCCAATCCTCCCAAAATAGGACCGCACTTGACCGGTTATGTTATTTTAAATAGGTTCAAAACCAGTCCAGATTCTAGAATCAACACAAGAATAAGAATATCTGAATATGTCATCGTTTGAGGCTGTGGACCATAAATTTTCATAAAGTAATCTGCTGTTTGTGAAACGTGTATTGTAATTTACCTCTTTACCAGACTCAGAACTGGCCAGACTAGAGTCGGACCCCACCACCGCCGGTAAGCAGATCCGCTGATTTCTTCAAAGGCACAAAGAGCAGACACAAATTAGTTTCGGTCTACCAGGACAGCCAGATCCCGGGATAAAAAATACTGGGTTCGGGTTGCCTCCCCAGTTGGTTCATGCGTCTTCGTATGGTTTGGGCCATTTCAGATAAAATTGAGTGTTTCTAAGAAACAAACATGAATAGGGATCATAACTAATTATTTTTTACAAGATTAACAAGAATTAGACCATGCAGTAATGCACCAGTCGTAGACTCGTAGTCTAGATTCTAGGATACCAGCTTCGTTTTTGGTGAAAAGTGGTGTCAGTTCTGTTAGAAAAATAGTATTAATGATGCGAGTTTAGTCAGATAAAAAATCCCGAGTTTAATCACAAATCACCAGACAAACCACCAAATGCAAGAACAAATAAAATAGAAACGATAATTAGAAATAAAATATTAATATAAAAATAATAGAGAAAAGAAAACTTAGCGTAAGATCGTCCGTTAACCGGACTGGCCTTGAAGAAAGATAGCCCCTGTATCTCGATAGCTACTCGAACGGGACTGGCCAACTCGCTCCCAGGATAATCCTACCTCTGTTCTGGTCCTTTAGCTTGCTTGACAGAAACACTTCGACCGTTGCCCGATTGCCAATTAATAGAGATGAGCCGGGAAAGAAATGAAGTATGACCTATGGAAATTTATATTTCTTCTCGGATAAGAACTATTTCATAGAAGGAGAAAAACAAATGAAAAAGCTTTTTATGATGAATGGTTCTGTTCGTGGAAGTCTCAAGCAAAAGAATAAGGCTTCACCGAAATGAACAATATGGTACGTGGGAATTATTAAGCATGCAGCGGACTGTGTTATTTTAACATGGAAATCAGATAGGTATTCATATACCGAAATAAGATTAGTCAAAAGTCTATCTGCTCCTAAAATAATGCTCCCATGATCCTTGATGACCGGATCAAACAAACTAAGTGTGACCAAGCACTTTTGAATTTAAAAATTTAAAATTCAAAGCACGTACATATCAAAACTTAGATAGTGAGCAAATTACTTATGCAATTATACTTTTCGCAGGCTTCAATTTATTAACTACATTTCAGAACTTTGTTCCCAAAAAAAAATGGCTTTTGATTTAAAATATTTGTGTACCGGCCCGTTATTCTGTTTGGTCCGAGCAAGTGAATAAGCTCATGTACAATAATATTTCAACTCACCTTATATGATACTTAAACATCGTTCCTTATCATATAATAATAAAAACACCATTTATTTTAAATGTCGGTCAATAAATTCATCAAACTAATACATTACATTAACAACTTTCACAACTATGGATTCTAGTCATTAAATGAAATAGATCCGTACATGCAAGTTGTTCTTTAATGTATAATAAGCCACACCCATTTCTTATATTATACCATTATTTATTTCATCATATTTCCAACAATCCCCCACAAATCCATAGTTGTTGGCTCAACTCTAAAAACATAATGTGCTTTCGAATATGGTACCTTCCGGTTTGAACCAACTTCTTAGCTTTTACCCCTAACCCCCACAGGAACTGAGTGAACAGAGTTCTTGAACTCGAACCTTGGTTGTGGTGGTGTAGAATAAAAGCAACACACTAAAGGCAATGGCAACGATCTATAGGGTTGACGCTTTACGGCCGTGCGTCCCGATCCTGTCTCAAGAATGTTATCGAGAATTAACCCTGATTCTCTAATTGCGGCCACACAATAACATTCTCATAGTTGGGTATCTCCAAGAGTGCATTGCTAACACTCTGCTTTAAAGCTCGATCCCATTCAGAGTCTTAAACTCTTACTTACTTAGCAATTTCAGCATCTCTCAGGCTTATCAAGGAATAGAACTCAAAAAATATTTTAATGAGATGCACAATTCACACTACGGTTTGTTTATACCACATTGAACCTACTTTATGGGATCTCCACTTAGATAGGTTGGGTTGCTACCGTAGTTGAATAATTACTGGGTTTCAGTCCCATTCCTAACCTGGATTTTATCACTTGATTTAAATCAAGTCCTTTTGTTAAAGGGTCTGCTGTATTATCTTTGGATCCGACAAAATCAACAGCAATCACCCCTTGAGACACAAATTTCCTTATAGTTTTTAATCTAACTTGAATGTGTCTCCTAGTCTTTTGATTATACTTGGTACTCCTAATTTTTGCAATTGTGCTCATACTATCACAATGCAAACAAATAGGTGGAATTGGCTTGCTGAATATAGGTAACTCAGACATTAGTCCCATAAACCATTCAGCCGTAATTCCTGTAGTATCCAATGCACATAATTCAGCCTCAAAAGTGGACCGAGAAAGTATCGTTTGTTTAGTGGACTTCCAGGCAACAGCCCCACCACCAAACGTAAACACATAGCCGGTACATCCATAACTCCCGGAATTCTTAGCTATCCATAGGAGTGGACTCGGGCCGGTTCGGGCCCGGTTCGGGCCTCGGTTCAAGAAGGGGAGGCCCGGAACCGGCCCAGGCCGGGCCGGGCCTCGGGTATATTTTTTTTTTTTGGGCTTTTCCTAGTTAACCCCCACCCCTCCCCCTCACCCCCAAACCAACCCTAACCACCTCAAATGGCCCAAAATAACCAGCCCAACCCAAAAACTCAAAAAAAATTCAAAAAAAAAATTAAAATTGGCCCGGCCCGGGCCCGAACCGGCCGGGCCGGTTCACCTTTTGAAGGGCCCGAGCCCGAACCGAGAATTCACCGGGCCGGGTGGCCCGAACCGCCCAACGAACCGGTTCCCGGGCCGGTCCGGGCCCGCACAGTGGCGGGCCGGTCCGGTTCCGGGCCGGTTGGCCCGGCCCGAGTCCACCCCTAGCTATCCAGCTTGCATCACTATATCCCTCAAGAACAAGAGGATATTTACCGTAATGCAAACACAAGGAAATTGTTCCTTTTAAGTATCTAAATACTCTATCTAAGGCCTCCCAATGAGTTCTGTTTGGACAAGTGTACCGGCTCAACTTAGACACCGAAAATGCAATATCGGGTCTAGTACAGTTAGCTAAGTAACCCAAGCTACCAATCATCTGAGAATATCTTAATTGAGACACAGGAATACCACTTTCATTTTTATACAAAGCTACTGAAGGGTCATAGGGTGTTTTAGCAATTCTACTATTTTTAAATCCAAATTTCTCAATTATTTTTTCAATATAATGCGACTGAGAAATAGAAATACCTTCAGTTGATCTAGTCAACTTTAGCCCAAGAATTACTTCAGCCACCCCCATATCCTTCATTTCAAACTTTGTTTTCAAAAATGACTTAGTCTCAAAAATAATATTATCATTAGTGCCAAATAATAATATATCATCAACATATAGGCATAAAATAATACTAATATCACCTTTACATTTATAATAAACACTTTGATCAGCATCTATAAGAGTAAATCCAAACGAAGAAATTATTTTATCAAATTTTTCGTTCCATTGCTTAGGGGCTTGCTTAAGTCCATATAAAGACTTAACTAATTTACAAACTTTTCTCTCATTGCCTTTTGCCACAAATCCCTCAGGCTGATCCATATAAATTTCTTCTTCAAGGTCACCATGAAGAAAAGCTGTCTTAACATCCATTTGATGAATTTTAAGATCATATACGGAGGCCAGTGCTATAAGCATTCTTATTGTGGTCATCCTTGCGACCGGAGCATATGTATCGAAAAAATCAATACCTTCTTTTTGTTTGTAACCCTTAGCAACTAATCTGGCCTTATATTTATCAATGGTTCCATCCGGTTTTAATTTCTTCTTAAAAATCCATTTACATCCAATAGTAGTGCACCCCTGAGGAAGATCAACGAGCTCCCATGTTCCATTTTGAACAATAGAGTCCATTTCACTTTTAATGGCATCCTTCCAACGCATGGCTTCAGATGTAGCCATTGCATCTCTAAAGGAAACTGGATCACCCTCAATATTGTAAGTGATAAAATCACTTCCAAATTCCTTAGTGATCCTAGCCCGTTTGCTCCTTCGGGGCTCATCTAGTTCATTTGATTCAAAACTAGCGTGGCTAGTACTACTAGATTCTACCCCCACATTTATCATCTTTTCCACTTGATCAGGAATTGAATTAAATGTGGTTTCTTGATTTTTAAAAGAAATATTTTGGTGCACACCCGTTTTCATTGGAAAAACATTTTCAAAGAAAGTAGCATCACGAAGTTCAATAATAGTATTAACATCTATGCCAGAAATTTCAGATTTAATAACCAAAAATCTCAATGCATAAGAATGTTCAACATAACCAATAAAAATAGCATCAACAGTTTTAGGCCCAAGTTTCTTTCTTTTGTGTTCAGGGACTAATACTTTTGCAAGACATCCCCACACTTTAAAATATTTTAAACTTGGTTTTCTGCCTGTCAAGAGTTCAAATGGACACTTATCGTTATGTTTCATGGGAATCCTGTTCAAAATATGGTAGGCCGTATTCAAGGCTTCCCCCCACATAAACTTAGGTAATCCAGAGTTCTCTAATAAACTGTTAATCATATCTTTAAAAGTTCTATTTTTCCGTTCAGCTACTCCATTTGATTGCGGTGAATAAGGAGGTGTTTCTTCATGTACTATACCATATTTTTGGCATTCTAGTACAACTAAATTAGAGGTGTACTCTCCTCCCCTATCAGATCTTAACCTTTTAATTTTCTTGCCAGTTTGATTCTCTATTTCATTCTTAAAAATTAAGAATTTTTCAAGAGCTTCATCTTTACCCTTAAGTAGATACACATAACAGTATTTAGAATAATCATCAATAAAAGTGATAAAGTATTTCTTTTTGTCACGAGTTAGCACTCCATTAAACTCACAAATGTCGGTATGAATTAAATCAAGTAATTCTGAATTTCTATCAATTGAAAGATAAGGTTTTCTTACTTGTTTTGTAGTAGCACATACCATACATTTCTTAGTTTTATCAATTGAGTGTTTAGGAATTAAATTTAAATTCATCATTCTTTTCACAGAATCTAAATTAACGTGACCCAAACGATAATGCCATAAAGTTGAAGAATCACAATTCTCAGATACATAATTTAATTCATAATAATCAACCACAATCTTAAAAAGTCCATCTGACAAGTAACCCTTGCCAATAAATGTTCCACCAAATAAAATTACAACTTTATTTAATTTAAAAGACAATTCATAACCCTCCCTTACAAGAATGGAACCACTAACAATGTTCCTTCTAATTTCGGGAACATGATGCACCCCATGCAAAGATAGAATTTTTCCCGAAGGAAATTTTATTTCCACTTTTCCAACTCCATGCACACTAGGAGCACTTGTGTTTCCCATCATCACTGTTCTTCCAACCGCTGGCTGATAAGAAACAAAGAGCGATTTATCAGCACATACATGCACATTCGCTCCTGTATCTATTAGCCACTCATTGGAATTATAAATAGTGAAAACTTGAGGGTTAAAAGAAACATACCCATCAGAACTAGTTCCTCCAGTCACCATGTTGACTTGAGGTCCACCAGATTGAGCCTTAGCCTTTTTATTTGGGCATAATTTGGCCCAATGCCCCATCTGTCCACAGTTCCAGCATGGACGGTTTGCCTTTGGTTTCTTTGCAATTTTTAATTTGGCCTTTATTGGTTTAAAAGATGATGATTGTTTATTCTTAGAATTTTGTGACTGTATTCCCACGGTTACAACATGAGCCTTTGGCTGAAATTCAACAGGAACAATGTAACCTGCTTTCTTATGTTCTTCCTCAACAGTAATGGAATGCATCAAAGATTTCCAAGTTATCTTTTTCATTTTGTGTTTTAAAGTCAAACCAAAATCTTCCCACGATTTGGGGAATTTTTCAATTACAGCCATGACTTTAAATTTTTCAGGCATTCCGGTCAAATCAACCCTGTGAGAGCCCGTGGCAACAAATTCAGGTGTGTCTTCAGAATTAGTCACAGACACATAATTAACATTATTTTCAGGGATTTCATTCACATTATTCTCAACAACAACATTTTCGGAAGTAGCAGCATTTTCCAAGTTCGTCATATTGGATTTTCAAAACTCGAGAAATAATATCTTTCTTCAAGATTGTTAGAAAAATAGTATTAATGATGCGAGTTTAGTCAGATAAAAAATCCCGAGTTTAATCACAAATCACCAGACAAACCACCAAATGCAAGAACAAATAAAATAGAAACGATAATTAGAAATAAAATATTAATATGAAAATAATAGAGAAAAGAAAACTTAGCGTAAGATCGTCCGTTAACCGGACTGGCCTTGAAGAAAGATAGCCCCCGTATCTCGATAGCTACTCGAACGGGACTGGCCAACTCGCTCCCAGGATAATCCTACCTCTGTTCCGGTCCTTTAACTTGCTTGACAAAAACACTTCGATCGTTGCCCGATTGCCAATTAATAGAGATGAGCCGGGAAAGAAATGAAGTATGACCTATGGAAATTTATATTTCTTCTCGGATAAGAACTATTTCATAGAAGGAGAAAAACAAATGAAAAAGCTTTTTATGATGAATGGTTCTGTTCGTGGAAGTCTCAAGCAAAAGAATAAGGCTTCACCGAAATGAACAATATGGTACGTGGGAATTATTAAGCATGCAGCGGACTGTGTTATTTTAACATGGAAATCAGATAGGTATTCATATACCGAAATAAGATTAGTCAAAAGTCTATCTGCTCCTAAAATAATGCTCCCATGATCCTTGATGACCGGATCAAACAAACTAAGTGTGACCAAGCACTTTTGAATTTAAAAATTTAAAATTCAAAGCACGTACATATCAAAACTTAGATAGTGAGCAAATTACTTATGCAATTATACTTTTCGCAGGCTTCAATTTATTAACTACATTTCAGAACTTTGTTCCCAAAAAAAAATGGCTTTTGATTTAAAATATTTGTGTACCGGCCCGTTATTCTGTTTGGTCCGAGCAAGTGAATAAGCTCATGTACAATAATATTTCAACTCACCTTATATGATACTTAAACATCGTTCCTTATCATATAATAATAAAAACACCATTTATTTTAAATGTCGGTCAATAAATTCATCAAACTAATACATTACATTAACAACTTTCACAACTATGGATTCTAGTCATTAAATGAAATAGATCCGTACATGCAAGTTGTTCTTTAATGTATAATAAGCCACACCCATTTCTTATATTATACCATTATTTATTTCATCATATTTCCAACAAGTTCAGCTTCAAAACTAGAGGTGGATCTGGTCCTCTGGGATTGGTAAATATTCAGTACGAGTACAATGATATTACGAGTATATTTTTTAGATTCGTTCGGGATATTGGTAAATATTCAGTCCTCTGGGATTGGTAAATATTTTTTTATATTTTCTTGGTTTCATTAGACATTTTTTATTTTGTTTTAAAAATATAATAATCCCAAATGAATTCAATGATCTTTTGAAAAATTAGAGCAAAACAATGTTATGTATTTGTTTATCTTCGACCGAGCGTTAGAGCTAATAGCCTAATACTTTTTGTTGGAACTACAAGCCACAACTAGGCATGGGGCTGGTTCGGTCCTGACCGGTCTTGGTTCTAAATAATTGGAGCTTGGTAGTGACCCAATTGATCCCAGGTCAGGCCCACCCTCTATTTTTTTAAAATATATTGGTTGGGATCGGATTAGGTCAGGGACCGTTCGGATGTACGGTTGGATCCCAAAAAATCTGGCCTGAGGCTATCTCGTTTCTACGCCGGTCCGGGTACCGGTATCGAAAAACCAGTTCTAGGCTGGGCCCAAATAGTGCCGGGGTTGACCCTGGGTTGGACCGCTTGGTGATCTTATTTTTCGACTTATTAGACTTATCAGTTAATTTTTACACCAATCATGTAATTTTAGATTTCACGCACGAAACTATGTAACTACGGAGTACTATTTTGGCTGAAATTACTGTTTTTAGTTGTTTATTCATACTACCTCCGTCCTGATGGACTTTGTCAAGTGCAAAGTAGGTGAAAAATAATAATAGTAAAAATCGTGTGGTTGAGATTTGTGCAGAAGAGAGAGAATGTGTAGAATCACAAATTAGTTGCTTTAATAAGAAAGTGACAAAGTTTTTTTGAACAACCAAAAAGGGAAAGTTAGCAAAGTCCGATGGGACGTAGGGAGTATTTTTTTTACTTTATTAAAAAAATATAATTTTTCATAACCTAGTAGAATCAGACATGGATTGGGCACCGGCTCGGCCGACTAGGACCGGGCCTTGGGGCGCAAACCGGTGGGGTTTTGGGGCGGGCTACAGGATGGTTTTTTGGTGGACCGGGCTAGACCCAAATAATTATTTTTTTTTATTTTTTCGAATGGATTGGGTGCTAGGCGGGTGGTTTGGGGGGGGGGGGGTTGCGGGTGGGGGGGGGGGTAGGAATAAATAAAATAAAAACAAATTAAAAAACCTAGACCCGACTTGACCCGAGCCCGGAACCAACCCGGGCTGGTACCGGGCCTTCAATTCCCAAACCCAGTCCCGCCCAAAGCCCCGGGCCCCGACCCGACCCGACCCGAGTCCAGGGTCAACCCTAAGTACAATCAGTCAATCCAACTAGTTAAAGCAGAACTTTACAAATCTCAGCAGAATGAGTCAATTACACTCGTTTTGAGTATTAACAAACATTAATTTTTTTATAACCTACATATCTCCCAAGGCTATGCGTAGAAAAGGGAGTTGAGTTTGAGCACCACGACAACTTAAAGAGTGAAATAATGACTCAATTATCACTAGTAGAGTTTTAATGGAGAAAAATATGACCAAAATGCGTTTGGACAAAAAAACTAATTTTATCCTACGCTCAACTATCTCCCGTTACTCCACGTCTCTCTTTCTTATGGAGGTGATTGTTGGGCGGTGGCGGCGATCTCCGTCGAACAGCGGCGTGGTGGTGGTTTTCGGAGCGGAAACTATGGTGGAGGTTGTATCACATTTTCACTAGAAAAAATCGGCAGAAAATTATCCTGCGGCATAGTGACACGTTACACGCAGTGACATCCGAAAATGACATAATAACCGGCAGTGACATTCGAAAGTGACATAATAACCGACAGTGACATTCAAAAGTGACATAAAATATGATAATGATATATGACAATGACATAAAAATCTAGCAGTGACATAAAAATTCGACAGTGACATAATGTTTTTCCAATTATATGACCTTCTTAGTCACAATTTTATCCTTTTGTAAAAATGGTCACATTTTTCAAAATTGACTTTATTTTTAAAATATTCAGGTAAAAAGCCTTTAAAGAGTTAAACATGTTTTACGTCTATATTTAATTCGATTAATCTTGATTATACGAGTTGTAAAAATTGTACTACGGGGTATGTATTTCGTATTTGTCTCCCGCTAATAGGGAGTTGAAAACTAAATTAATTTTGAACACCCAATAAATTAATGTTAAATGTGATTTGGACACGAAAATGAAGGCCTTCTAGCCTTCTACCTTCAATAATACTTCTCTCATTCTTAAATAAGTGCAACACTTTCCTTTTTCAACAGTTTCAAATTAAATGCAATTTTTCCCTTTTAGGAAGTAAATAATAAGCCAATTTCCTTCTATACCCATCTTCTGCCCAAATTTGGCAACTTCCTTTAATTCCTCCTCCACCACCCAATGATTCCAGTACTCCACTCTCATCTTTACAACCTCCAATTCTATATTTTCTCCGTTTCTCTCCACTAGCATCGTCAACTTTCATCTCCCCTATTCGTTTCTTTGTTTCTTTCAGTTCCACATCCATCTTCCTCTTTTTTCATTTCCCCAATTTCTAGCTAAATGAAAGACATGGACGGTGATGAAACTGGTTTTGCTCCGCTTACTCCCCCACGAACTACAACCAGTCTTGAGAAATTGACGATCATGTTCATCATTAAATCAAAGGCCTTGTAAAAAAGAAAAAAATATTGCCTCCGGCTCAATGTTGAAGTTATATCCTTCCTATTGATAATTAATTCAATTTTAATAATTAAATATTACATATTCAGAAATTACATTAAAAATTCTATAAAGTTTCAAAATCCAAGTTAGAATTTAATCAAAAATTGATATCCCAATTAAGTGAATAAAATGAATATTTTGACTCAAAATGTCAATTTTACAACTCAATTTGAGATCGATGGAGTATTCCATATAATAAATGTGACCTGGTAATTTATGTCACTTATATTTCACATGTTGCATGTATGCAGTATGCCGATGTAAATTGATACCAATAATAGATATAGTTAAATTTATTATGTGTTCACTTACAATAAATTGAAAGTAATAGAATATTTTAATTAATTTCACTAAAGGTATTTTTACTGCTAATGGCCAATTTATTCCAATCAACTTACTTGTTGAGTTGGTAAACTATACTAGTTGCTTTTGTAGGTGATGTGGGTTCGACTCCCACAGTCAGCAACTTTTTCATTTAGTCAAATAATATTTTTTTTTTTTGGAAAAAGACGGCTTAAATTGATATCAAAGCATTCAACAAGGGAACAAGACGATAAAGGGGCCACTTCTAACCATTGACCCTCGAACCAGACTTAGAAACAATCACCCTGGAAAAAGCAATATGGCTCACTGATCCTATAATGGGTCGACATGAGCCTAACGTGGTTAGAGTAAACTCCTCATCACCCCAACCTAATGCAAGAGTCTGGCAAAGATAAACATACATCACAAACAAAACAACATGAAACTCAAAGTAAAAGCACAACCAAACTAAATCAGAAATAGAAATAATCTTCCAAACCCTAGTTGCACAATTCCTCCATGGCAGCGGTTCGGGAGGGGGGCGGATCAACATCTCTTTGTCTTCTTTTGCCCATATAAGAACATCGTCATCGACCCTGAATTTTTCTGATCATGGATCTTTTGCCCTCCTCATGAATCCCATTGCCTTGTTATCCATCATTGTCTTTCTTGTCGATGAATGAATTCGTCGTTCCCAAAGAGACCTCACAAAACCTAGGGTACCTGGTGTGAGCCGCTTCACCGTATGAAAACGGATCATGGTGCCTACTTAAGGCCTCCGCCACACACGTGTTACGGAGCAGCGGCCAAACCAACCCCTGTCTCGGTGCTCTACAACGTTCTCCACTGACACCATGAAGTTGCAAAATAGATCCATGTACGGAAGCTCTCACCGGACTGGTACCGAAGGTTATCGCGGGTACAAACTGTTGGGCATAAAACCTAGAGACGGCCACATATTTTATTGATTAACAAGGATGTGATGAACAATTAAGTTGCGAAGAGGGCTCTTTGTGTACACTGTACATTGTTGTTAATTGTTACTTTTCTCTTGAGTAAATGCATTATTTAGCCAAATAATATGAATATTGGGTCAAATGGGCTAAGTACTCTTAACTATTTAAATAAAAATATGGACCCTCCCTTCAAATCGGGCCCTGTGCGGCCGTACTGTTTGCACAATGCCACGACTGGCTCTGCTCGCGGAAAGAGAGGAGGGTTTCGCCATCGAACTGTGTTGCTGTCCAATTTTCCGGTGAAGGAGGTGCCGTCCAATTTTGCCGTGAAGGAGAGTTACTTTTTTATTGTTCTTTTCTTTTTTACTTTGAGTTTCAGAGAAGAAGGATGAAAACACTTCAGCGTCAAGGTTGGAATCATCATCAGCAAATACACCCTTCACATAGTTGACGAAGATGATAGAAATAGGCTTCTCTATTAGTTTTTAGTTTTTTTGTGAGGAAAATACTGCAGCACATTACGAATCCATCACTTTTCTCCGTGTTCTGAAGGGTAAAATGGGAAACTCAAACCCTATGTCCACGTTTCTTATTTTCTGCGCCCAAGGGAGTGTTGCACACTTGCACTTAATACCGAATGGAGGAAGTACTAAACTAAGATCAATTTCAAAAAATGTAACCATTCTTACAAAAGGACAAATATGTGACTAAGAAAGTCATATATTTGGGAAAACATAGTGTCACTGCCGAATTTCATGTCACTACAAGATTTTTATGTCACTGTTTTATGTCACTACTGATTTTCATGTCACTATCACCGTGAAACGTGTTACTGTGTCACCGGAAAATTTTTCAGTGACTTTTTTCGAGCCAAATGTTATACAACCTCCACAAATTTCTACTCCGGAAACTGTCGCACGCCAAATGTTATTCCCCTGCTCTCCCTACCACTGCTGCCCCAACGCTCCATCCCCTACCCCAGCACCCTACCCCTATGCCTGCCCCAGCGCTGCCCAGTCCCGCCACTACCTGACCCTGTGCGGCCGTACTGTTTGCACAGTGCCACGACCGGCTCTGCTTGCTGAAAGAGAGGAGGGTTTTGCCATCGAACTGTGTTGTTGTCCAATTTTCCGGTGAAGGAGGTGCCGTCTAATTTTGCCGTGAAGGAGAGTTTATTTTTTTATTGTTCTTTTTTTTTACTTTGAGTTACAGAGAAGAAGGATGAAAACACTTCAGCGTCAAGGTTGGAATCATCATCAGCAAATACACCCTTCACTTAATTGATGAAGATGATAGAAATAGGCTTCTTTATTAGTTTTTAGATTTTTTTGTGAGGAAAATACTGTAGCACATTACGAATCCATCACTTTTCTCCGTGTTCTGAAGGGTAAAATGGGAAACTCAAACCCTATGTCCACGTTTCTTATTTTCTGCGCCCAAGGGAGTGTTGCACACTTGCACTTAATACCGAATGGAGGAAGTACTAAACTAAGATCAATTTCAAAAAATGAAACCATTCTTACAAAAGGACAAATATGTGACTAAAAAGTCATATATTTGGGAAAACATAGTGTCACTGTTGAATTTTATGTCATTACAAGTTTTTTATGTCACTGTTTTATGTCACTACCGATTTTCATGTCACTTTTGAATGTCACTATCACCGTGAGTCCGTGAAACGTGTTACTGTGACACCGGAAAATTTTTCAGTGACTTTTTTTTCCGGGCCAAATGTTATACAACCTCCACAAATTTCTACTCCGGAAATTGTCCCACGCCAAATGTTATTCCCCTGCTCTCTGCCTTAACACTCCATCCCCTACCCCAGCGCCCTACCCCTATCCCTGCCCCAGCGCCGCCCAGTCCCGCCACTACCTGACCCTAGCACCACCCAGGCCCCCCCACGCCCCCCCGAGACTTGCAGCAGCCTAACCAACCACAACCCGGCCTCACCCAGCCCCTCTACGACTTGCCCGAACCCCAGCAGCCCCAAACAACCATCAGACCTGAGATCAATGAAGCAAGTGAACAACGACCCCGACGATTGGCAACAAAGAAGAAGGTAGTCCGCAGTGGAGAAGAAGAGGAAGATAGTGTGCATAGTGAAGCAGAAGACGGCGACTCGCCCTAGCCCCAAATAGGGCGGCGACGACAGAATTGCAACAGTGGCGCGGACTAGGAGGCAGACGATGGAGGTGAGAAGCGAAGGCGTCTGTCCTGGTGGCCGGCGGAGGCGATGCGCAGGTGCCCAACTGTGAGGTGAGGGCGATGCGCAGAAGCTCGATGGTTTCCAAATGTGAGAACGGTTTGAAGCATGCGCCGTTCCAAAAAACTTTGTAACTTTTTTTTAATCAAATATTTTGTAGTTTCTCTTATTTCTCTCTCTTCCACACAAATCTCAATCATATAATTTCTATCTATTTTATCATCGGTACGAGTAACTCAGTTGGTCGAGTGGTGGGAAAATTGGACCAAGTGACCAATGTTCGAAATCCGCAATGGCCTTGTGAAGATTACAGAATCTGAAATAAGAATGGACCTCTGGTGCGCACATGTATAAAGATCTACCGCCATTTTGCTTACTGAGTCACCGTGATTAACCTCCTCACCATGCTGTCGGGTCAGGATGGGGCTCTTGAGGTGTGAGATTCCACCTTTTGGACTAAGTAATTTCTATATCATCCTTTCTAAAATGAAAATGTACCTAAATCTTGCTTTGTACTCCCTCCGTCCCGGAATTATCTTCATTCTTTCCTTTTCGGTTCGTCCCCAATTTATCTCCTTTTTCCCTTTTTGGTAAAGAATATGTGGTTCACAACCATTCTTACACATTTCGATCTCCTCTACATAACTCTCCACCACACAAATCCCACTATCGTATTGAATTCTCAATATACACATCTAGAGTGCCACTTGCAAAGAACCAATGGACATCAAGCATTCCACACACGTGGGACCAGAAGTAGCGAGATGATGCCACGTCGTGTGTCTGATTCCGTTTGAGTGAAAGATCAACCACTCTCTTCTTCACCAATCCATCCTTCATAAGCTCTCTTCCTGCAGAGGACCGATCCGGACCAGAAAATGTTGAGAATCTTGTCAAAATCCGTAAAGGTGCAGCCTGCAGAGGACCGATCCGGACCAGAGACCGACGATTACGACGTCATCGAGGACCTCTCTTCCTGGGAATTCGTGAACCAGTCCGATGACGAGGAGCTAGATCGCTACTCCTTCAACGAAGAGGATCTCGACTACCAAGACGAAGTAGCGGTGAATGAAGACGATCATCCATTTGCGCCCGGATCTCCTCAATCTTCAGATGCGTACACGGAATCGGAGTCTCCTCCTCAGATCGCGACGAACCCAATTGTGATCGCCTCAATCGTCCGGCTTACTCCCGCGTACACCTACAGCGATGGCTACGAAGAGGAGGAATATGAAGACGATGATGGTGATGATGATGAGTATGACGATGAGTTGGTTCCGAGGAGGGTGAGCGGGAAGTTCGGGAGGCAGAGAATGATGAAAATGGGTAAAAGGGCGGCGAGTCCGAGGATGAACACGGCCAAAAGCTTGCCGTATTACAACAACAAACCCGGCGCTGTCTTCTGCAAAGTTAGGTGATGAATCCTCATGTGCAAATAGGGAGATGATGACTGGTTGATCTAATTTAGGAATTGTTGATGTGAAATTAATCTAATAAGTCGTGTAAAAATATGTTTCGTGAAATGGATTTCGATTTCCTGCTTTTCAGCACCCCCATGTGTTCATGTGGATGCTTCAATTGATTCGCTTTCATATTGTTCAAACGTGTTGGTAACATGTTTCATCCGAAGTCCTGAGTCCGGTCATAAGGTTACAATTGATTTTTACTGCACAAGTGCTTAAATAAAATAATTTGAGTAAAAAAGGAAATAGAAAATTTAGAAAGGTATACACGTGAAAGTAATTAAAAAAAGATAAGTCGGAAGAGAGAAAATTATGAGACTTGATATTTAATGAGTATAAAAGAGAAATTTTAGTAAAAGTGAGAACCTTTATATGTGACACCAAATAAAGACGGTGAAAACCTTTCGACGAGATCAAGGGAGTAATGCTTTGACATTTTTTCATAATATGATGGTCTATTTACTAACAGAGATATTTTCCAGTTTTCCAGAAAACTGGAAAACTAGAAAACAGAAAGCTAGAAACGTGTACCAAAGAAAATTGCTCGAAAACTCGAGAAAGAAAAACAGAAAAACGTGTTTACCAAACCGTTTTCCAAAACGAAAAAAATGAGACATGTCTCTCTTTTCCTTAATCATTTGGAGAAGTGACTTTTACTAGTTTTCCAAATTTGGAAAACGTAGATGTTACAGGCCGCTGCAATGAATTTGCATATTTACACCTAGTGGTGGACTGGTGGGTCCGGTCCCGCTCCGATGTCGATTCCATTCTAGTACCTTCATCCTCGTACCTTACCCCTACCCTACCCTGCCCACCCCCCACTGCATACCCCTTTTCCCTACAATGACCCTACCCACATCCCTTACCTCGGTCCCACCCTGATCCACCCTACCCTACCGCCACCCCCTACCTCGTATATACCCCTTACCCCTTCCCACATGCTCCCTACATCGGCCCCACCCTACCGCCATCCTACCCCCACCCTCGTACCACCATCCTACCCCCACCCTACCCCTACCCCTACCTCGGCCCCACCCTGATCCCGGCCCCACCCTGCCGCTATCCTATCCCAACTCCCTACCCTACCCCTACCTTACCCCAACCCCAACACTACTCACTACCCCCACCCTTACCCCTAACCACCACCCTAACCCATCCACTACCCCCACCCAACCCTCGTACCTGTAGACCTTACCACCCCACCCCTGACCATACCCCTTACCCCACCCACCCCCACCCATACCTTCCTTCCCCACCCCGACCCCTACGAGTAGGTATGGGTGGGTATGAAGGGTTTTAGGGGAGTATGGGTAGAGTGTAAGATCGTGGTAAGGGTAGGGGTAGGGGTCAAGGGTGTGGAATTGGGTGTAGGGTGTAGGGTAGGGGTACGAGGTATAGGGGCAAGGTAGGGGTTAGGAGTATGGGTACACGTACGAGGTGATCGACCCCACATATTATATTATATATTTGTGTTCATGAATGTTTGTGTGTCTATATATGTATAGGGTTATTTTGAACATTTTAATGTTAAACGGTGTTTTAAACCTTTCGAAGTAAACATGATCTTATAACATTGCTTGTTTTATGTGTCGCTTATTAACGCGAGTCTTAATAAACACCATTTAGTAACCCGTGAAGTTAACGTGTCAGTCTTCTGGATGATCACAGAACTGGGTGAAAAAATTGATGAACAAGTTTTCAGATTTGAAAATGGAAAACTAGAAAATAGAAACAGAAAACTGGAGATAGAAAAACTGAAAAATAAAAACAGAAAATTGGAGAACGAAAAGCAGAAGTAGAAAACATGAAAATATCTCTGTTAGTAAACAAGCCCTGATTTTTTTGAAATTTTCCAAAATGGTGACATATTCAATGAGTAGTTCTTAGTGGTTCATCATCTACTAGTGACTTGTCGATCCGAAGTACATTATAGTGACTTTTGTTCAACTACACGTACAGAGTGACTAGTACTGTGTAATATTTCTCTTCAAAAGCATAACTATTCATATTTTTATTTGAAAAAATTCTATTAGTAATATACATGTCATTTTTCTAGTACTTTTGTTCTTTTCGTTGTCATTTATCATGCAAAACTTTAACCATTGATATCTTTTCAGTAAAACTTTAATCATTGATATACTTTATTTCTTATCAGTAAAAAAACCATACTTTAAAAATTAAAATGAGAGAAATTTAATACGGAGTATGTAGTAATATTTTTCAAAAAATTAATTTATAATACATTAATAAATAAAATGCAGTTAAATTACGAGATGTAAATAGTAGTGTAAAATGTAAGATGTTGCATCTATTTAAAAGTGGAGGTAGTACTACGTACATAGTAAAAGTGGAGGTAGTACTTCGTCAATTTATACGAATACGAATAATATTACTCACTATTCGATTCGATTCGTTTACAACCCTACATGTGGGGTTGTGCGAGTTTTTAAAAATAAAGTATCAAATACGGAGTAGCTGTTTTATAATTCAAGCATCAAAAAAGTGTAAAAAAATAAGACGAGCCTATAAAAGAGTGAGGTATGAAAGTAAAAATCTAGTGGAGTTCAATTTAGAAAAATGTTTATATTTTGGGATAATCTATTAAGGGAAGTTGTGTTTTATATAATAGAGTAGATAAGTATTTATTAGCGGAATTTAAACAATATTTGCTGCCGGATTAATTATGTTTCTAACGTTTTTGTAATTATTTATTTATACTTGTTGTCTTTGTTCTCTTATCTTCTAATATTCATTTATAAGTTATGATTATTTATTAGATCTCTACATAATCCATAATTGATATTCATTATTTAGTTATTAAATGTTTCATTATGACACCATTTTTTACTGATTTTGATTACAAATATGTCTCTGCTCGATATTTCATCATATGTTCTCTTAAAAACAAATAAACCATATACTTATACTCCTAATAAAAAAGGTGCTTGAATAATTGTTTAGTAAATTGGGAAAGTACAATTGATTGAATAGATGCTAACTCAGAGGTATGTTAAAACATATTATAAAAAAAATTAACATATAAATCTGATTCCTAATACTCCAAATTAAAACACCGTTTTTCGATTTTACGGAGTATTAGGGCATCACCACTGATTATTTTATTTGAAAAGTAATTAGATGACGTGTCAGATTAATTCAAAGTTTAAAATTGGAGGAAAAGGTTTATTTAGGGGGATTATTATTTTAAAAATTCGGTATCCAGATTCAAATCCCGGATTGTTTAAGATTACACTTAAAATACATTTAATGCATATCCCATAAAAACAAACTATTTGAATATCATTGTTGATGAATAATTTTAAGTCTTGAGATCATTCAAAATTTAATGCGTAACAATGATGTGACAATTAAGAATCGTTTTGCCAATGCTGAAATTGGCTGAATCGGCTGATTCCGCTGAAATTTATGAAGTAATGGCTAGAGTGATTGAATTGGCTGATTTTGCCGATATATGAAAAAAACATATTTAAATTTTTTGTATTAAAAAATAAAGAAAACATTGTATGACAAAATAGTTAAAATGATCATCTACGGTAACTTCAATCAATACAACAATAAAAGTAATTTCAAACATACTTTTCTTATTATCACACAATTCAACACGTGTAATCAAAAGTACGTGCTTGATCAAATGTATTAAAAAACCATTTATTTGGAGATGTTGTTTTTTTGAAAACAAATAACTTAATTATTATTAATGAAGATGACAAGAAACATTACAATCATAAAGCTCAAGGCTACAATGGGACGAGACATAGAAACAAACGATTCTAATTGAAAACGCTGAATCGCTAATCCCACAAAGAAGTAGACTCTACCTGCAGATTGACTGTTCCTGCTACGATAACAATAATTATCAAAAGAACTCTTAAACATCCTGGTTTCTCCAGTCATCAGCAAGGAGCCAAATGTAGAACTTGTTCCGGTTTCACCAGCCACCGAAAAGAAAGCAATCCAAATGATCTCATCTTCCTGGAACAATAGTGGTTCAGAAGGGGGACGATCCGTCTCAATATCGTCGCAGAAGAAAATCATGTTTTTGATTGATGAAGAGATCAGTGCAAATCTCTTCTTAGCACACAAGAACGTCTGACCGAAAGTGGCAGGAGATATGGATCCGGCAGACGATATTTCGCTACCGAAAATAATACCTCCAAACAACGTTGGGAAAAAACACATGAATAAAACTGAAAACACTGATTAAGAAGATGTTTTTCTATTATTGAAATCAAAGAAGATTGAAAGAAGAGAAAAAAAGGAGAAGGCGACTAGAGTTTCCCCATGCCATTTGCCTCTCCTAAGACCACTTGTAGTGGTGAGGTATTAGGAGTCCAAAATGTTAAAAGTGGAATTTTTGGACCCCTAAATCATTGTTGCGGTTGGCTAAATGGGAGAGTAGAAATGGAGAAGGGCCTGGAGGGGGTATATATGAAGGGTGTGGAAGGAGGGAGGCTAAAAAAAGGCAAGAGGTGGGGGCAGCACATGTGGTGCCCACTGCCCAGAGGGGAAAGGGGGGAAAAGGCAAGCCGAGCATGTGGCTATTTGGGATGTATACAAATTTCTTTATTTTTTCTTTTGTTTTTAAAAAATGGTAATAACTTTTTTATTTTTGATCCGATTTTTATAAAATTAGAAATTGCCCAATATAGGAGTAAATATAAACATAATTGCACAAATAGGAGTAAAACTTAAAACTTAACATTAATTTTGTACCCTTAATATCCCTAACTAGTTAATTCTAAAATATGACTTATTCATTCCTAACCTAGTTAATTTATGACTTATTCGATAATAATTTATTTATTTATTTATTTTTAAAAAAATATAAAAATTGATTCAACGACTCAAATTAAATACAACGGTTAAAATAATTTATTTTATTTTTCCATTATTTTTAATTAATATTTTGTCCAAAAATTCTTTAATATTTTTCCAATGTGTTTGAACTCACTTCATCGAAAAACGTTAAAAAAATATTAATGATTTTTTTACATTAAAATGTGTCTTTTTTATTTTATAATTAATCAGAGAAAAAATTAAAGAAAAAACATTACTTATAATGATTTAATTAATGTTTTACTAAATTGTGCAGAGTGTATTTTATTGACGGTGCTGAAATACAGAGAAATATCAGTCAAAACACTGTTTTCATTTAGATTTTCCCACCACTTCAAATGGTCTAAGCAATATTTGGAGATGGCTATTAAACTCTCCAAAATAAACGTATCTACTGCTCCACACGAAAATCTAAATTCTTGTTACAAAAAGTTCACCCCTAAACAAACCTAACCATCAAACAAATTGTACCATGATCTGTATATAGTTTTCTGAAGGTCTACCCACCATACATAATCCAAGGTGACCTGGCAAAAAGAGAGAACGTATCAAGACAGAGATTCAGTGACAACGGAGAGAGGTCGAGAGGGAGGAGTTGAGAAGCAATGGCGGAGCGGGGCGGGGGAGGAAGCGGATGCTGTCCACCGATGGATCTCTTCAGATCGGAGCCTATGCAGCTCGTTCAACTCATTATTCCAGTCGAGTCCGCTCACCTCGCCGTCGCTTACCTCGGGGACCTTGGCCTCATCCAGTTCAAAGATGTACGTACTGAAACAATGATATAGGGGAAAAATGTGCAACTAAGTTGCAAATTAGTCGTCTAACTTGGTATAGGGGAAAAATAATAACTGAACCATCAGCCATCTGGTAGGTGGCTCCCGATGGTATCAAGATAGCTGCAATGTTGATACAATGGCACGGTGCAGATTTAGGGCAGATAATCTGTCTGTCTGTTGTTTGGAAAAGCTTGATTGCATATTCCTCCATATTACTTTATGAATATATTTTTGTTCATTATAGATGGGCCGTTGATCTTTAGTCATGTTAATGAAGTCATTGCTCTTGCCAACCTAATGGAAAAAGCAATGAATTTGATTATAGTTTTTTGTTAATATGCAAATGGTACTTCACAAATGATTTCACCTTGCCTTTACCGGGCTTGTAAGTTTCTTACTATACAATTTTTCAGTTTTTCTTCTTGTATTAAATTATTATTTGAATTTCATCTTACTAATGAAAGCATATGCCATTGATCCTCCTTGTTAAAGTCTTAGAGTTTTTTTCATGCCCCCTACCAGTAATGATATTTTCTCTTCCTTCTATTTTCTTCCAGCTGAATGTGGAGAAGAGCCCTTTCCAGAGAGCATATGCTACTCAGGTAAATGTGTTCTATTGTCAATCAATTAAGATTGTACACATACATGAAATGATTTCAAATTTATTGGTTTTTTTAGTTTTAAAAAGTGAAAACAAAAACTATGTATTCACAACAAGAATAGAGGATGCAACAAACAGGCGTTTTTACAAAAATCTTTTTAAAAGATCAATATTGTATAAAAGTTTGGAATCCATAAGGGGATGGATGATTCCCAATTCCCATATGTCATTTTCGGTCTTTTGCTTGAAGCATCCCAAGTGATTCCAACAGTTTTCCGTTGCGTAAAAATGAAAAATCAATAAGCTACTTTTTCTTTGGCGAAACTTTGAATACCTTTTAGGCAGGACTGGCAGGACTGCATTGATATATTTTCATTCTTGTTGATGATTTATTATAGACAAGATTTAAAGTATATGTAGTCTTTTTTTCTTGTTGAAGATTAAGAGATGTGGAGAGATGGCGCGCAAGTTATGGTTTTTTAAGGATCAAATGTCAAAAGCTGGCCTGTCGCTTTCTGCTAAGTCTGCCACACAGGATTACATAAACTTCGATGATCTGGAGGTATATCTAGTTGACTGGGCTCTCTTTATGTCTCGGTTATCCCATATCTGGTTGTTACAAGTTGCTAGTATACCATGTCATTTTGAGATGATTTAAAACCTGTATATGCATATAGGTGAAGCTTGGAGATCTTGAAGCTGAACTGATTGAGATAAATGCAAACAATAATAAGTTACAACGGTCGTACTATGAGCTAGTGGAATACAGGCTTGTTCTGCAAAAGGTAGTTTATCGTGGCCTTTTGTTCTATGGCTCTTTTGGGCGCAATACATTGATCTTCTGTGAGATAGTGAATAGAAGATGAGTGTAAGTGTGTAAGTTGTTTTGATCCTAAAAAGTTAGGAAATGGTACAATAGTCGTTTTCATAATTAAATCAAGTTGGAGTAGCTGAACTTTTTAAATAGGCTCTAAAGTATGTAAACTAAATAGTTGGCTTTGACTTCCACTTAAAGAAAAATGCTTCAAAATTTTATGATTCAAGAGTAGAGACTTATTTACCACATATTTCTGCAGGTTGGTGAAATATTTCACTCAGCACAGAGTAGTGCTGAAGCTCAACAAAGAGAGTATGCATCAAATCAAAGTGGCGAAGAGTCTGTGGAAGCTCCACTCTTGTCGGAATTGGTAATCCTGCCTTAATCCAGTAGTGATGAGTAACTTTCCCCTCTTAGGTTTTCAGGCTTTTCTTGCGTTACGTAAAACGTTTTTCATGGAGGAAAATATCTTTGTTGATTCTTTGTACGTATGTAGTTATTCTCTTAAACTAGTTCCATTTTTTTAATTTCTGTTTCTTGGTTGAATCTTAAATTATAAGTAGACTAACTTATTTCTGCAACTCCTTTCACAGAATTTCATTTTCACATTTTTCACAGCAACATATTTTTCTGCGGTCAAATGGGGCCCTGTCGTATTAATCATCGTTTCTTATTTTATTTTTATTGTAGGATATGTCAATGGATCCATCTAAGCAAATTAGATTGGGGTCTATTGCTGGACTTGTTCCTAGAGAGAAATTCATGGCCTTTGAGCGGATTCTCTTCCGAGCTACCCGGGGTAATGTGTTGTTGAGACAACATGAGGTGGAGGAGCCTGTCACTGATCCTATTTCTGGAGAAAAGGTTAGCATGTTACTCTTTGTGGCACACTTTGAGATAGAAGATGATATGTAATATCTATTTCTAAAGTCAGTACTTTTCATTTTCTTAATAATTTGTAAATATCTTCTTCCATAAAGTGGTGTTGCTTATGCTAGCCTCTTATTGCAGGTTGAGAAAAATGCATTTTTAGTCTTTTTTTCAGGCGAAAGGGCAAAGAACAAAGTTCTTAAGATATGTGAAGCTTTTGGAGCAAATAGGTACCCATTTGCCGAGGAACTTGGTAAACAGGCCCAGTTGATAGCAGAGGTATAACTATGTGTTATTCCCATCATCCTAGCATTGTCTAAACCACATGTTGGGGGTATAATAATATTTTCTGAGTGACCTAATACGCCCTATTTCCTTCAAGGTATCTGCAAAAACTTCGGAACTAAAGACTGCAATAGATGCTGGAATTCTGCACCGTGGGAATGTATTACAAATTATTGGCAAACAGTTCGACACCTGGAACTTTTTGGTCCGTCTTATGAAACAAGGCATTCTTATTAAAATATACCACATTGAAGTGATTACAGGTAGCATCCTTTCAATAGCTGAATTATTAATTTTACACCATCTCCATGCTGCAGGTTCGAAGGGAAAAATCTATTTATCATACACTTAATATGCTTAGCACAGATGTGACAAAGAAAGGCCTGGTCGCTGAAGGGTGGAGTCCTACTTTTGCAACTCAAGAGGTGTTTAGTTTTGAATTCATTCATGTTATAATTTTTATAACAATGGCACATAGTCATGGCCTTTCAGAATTTAGAACATTGCTGGCTTTTGTGAAGCTTGGTATTGACATAGTTGTTTATCTTTTTATTGTATCTTTTTTATCTTTAGTATCTTTTTTATCTTATCTTTTCTTTTTATCTTTTTTTGCTGAACTCATATGTCGTATCATGTTAGCTGACCCCCAACTCTTTTGAGACTAAGATTTGGATGTTGTTGCACCATATCGTGCAGAATTTAAAAAGAATGTCTGATATGAACTTGATTCGTTTTTCAATAAAATCAAATTGCTTGCTTTGTGATCATGCAGATTCAGGATGAACTGAAGAGGGCAGCACGTGACTCTAATTCAGAAATGGGTGCAATTTTTCGGGTATTGCCTACGCGAGAATTGCCGCCTACATATTTCCGGACAAACAAATTTACTTCTGCCTTTCAAGAGATTGTTGATGCGTATGGGTGAGTGTCATGGGAGAGGGTTTTATCTGTAATTTTATCTTAGTATGGGAATTGAGATAAAAATTCATATTACTTACTAATTATCTTCTGCTACTGTAATAGAGTTAGTGTTCTTTTAATTGCAAGTCTATCATTATCATCTCTCAGAATTGGCACCCTAGCAATAGCACTTCAGCGGGACAGTCACTAACATTATTATTTTCAGTTGCTCATATTTTCCTGAATATGCATCAATCCTACAGTTCTGCATCATTTATTTGATTTCTAGTTTTTAACAACTAAACTTATGATGTGCTCTACTTGGTTTGTCATATTTTACAGGGTGGCTAGATATCAAGAAGCAAATCCGGGTGTATTCACTATTGTCACATTTCCATTTCTTTTTGCAGTAATGTTTGGTGACTGGGGCCATGGTATATGCTTGTTACTTGCAACATTGTACTTTATAATCCGTGAGAAAAAACTCTCTAGTCAGGTGATTATTTATTTATATATTAACATTGTAGAACAATTTGCAGTTATATTGTTTTTGAAGTTGATGCATCAACTCTAATAATTTACGTGCCATTTACTGTGCCAACTCAAATATATGATGTTCTTATTCCATTTTGCTAAAACTTGGGAATATGGCAATGCTTAAACTTTGTGTTTGCCTGGTTGAGTGGGAGAATATTTTTGTAACTTTAATTTATGGGTACAGAAAATGTAATGCAAGCACGTTTTGCATAACACAAAAAATATCTGGAGGAATATAGTGGCACGAAAGGATGAAATTCTTGGTCTTTAGTAGTTCTGTCAGAGGTTTATTTGGTGTTACTCTTCGATTTAACTCATATCTTATTCAGTTTTTGAAAACTCCCTTGGTATCTTGGTCATTGGGACATTGAAGACTTCAGGATCAGGGAATGTGCTCATGAACTAGGGCATATACATTGTCGGAAAATATGTACTTCCAATTTCTGCTTTCGGCCACAGCTACCTATTCAATAATAGATCTGGCGGTTTTATAATAAGATCTATCGAACCATGAAATTTAGTAGCTTCTATTTATTATTGGGTGATGGAAGGATTATGTAATACTATTTGACCAAACTCATAAATACAAATAAGACCGCCTTCAACTTTTTCTTATATATAAGGACACAAGTAACAACTAGGAATATGAGTTGAACCCCTCATCCACTGGCGCTAAAGCTACATGCGACTATCTAGGTTTGTACTTGCTATTTTCTGATGCCTGGTGCTGCTTCTGCCGCCTGTTAGTATCAGTATGCTACTATGAATGAAATCCTTATTTGTAAAGTTTTGTCCTTAAATGTCTAAATTTATATGTAGACTTGTAGAGGATCTATTTGTAAATCAATGTTTCTTAAGTAATTTATCTGTAGTGGGTCACTTAGTATTTCCCTGATAGATCCCCTCTACATATGCAGAAACTAGGAGACATAACGGAAATGACGTTTGGTGGGCGTTATGTGATATTGATGATGGCAGTCTTCTCAATCTACACAGGATTTATCTATAACGAATTTTTCTCTGTTCAATTTCCATTATTTAGCAGCTCAGCATATGAATGCCGTGATACTTCTTGCAGGTATATAAGTTAACTTCATTCTTCATACATTTCCGAACAATTGTTAATATGAAATTATATTATATTGAAACTTGATTGCAGTGAGGCTACTACAATAGGCCTAATCAAGACACGTCATACTTACCCATTTGGTGTGGATCCTGCCTGGCATGGCTCTCGAAGTGAATTGCCATTTTTGAACTCCTTGAAGATGAAATTGTCAATCCTGCTTGGGGTGGCTCAAATGAACCTTGGGGTTTTATTGAGCTACTTTAATGCCAAGTACTTCAGAAATAGTGTAAATATATGGTAAGTTTTATATGCTTTAACTGGAGGTTGCTTCCGGCCATTGTTATGCTGGTGTATGAGTGTAACTAAAGTCTAAACTTGACTGAATGATGCAATTGCAGGTGTCAGTTTATTCCTCAAGTTATATTCTTGAACGCACTATTTGGATACCTTTCTGTGCTCATCATTATAAAGTGGTGCACTGGTTCCCAAGCTGATCTATACCATGTGATGATATACATGTTTCTTAGCCCTACAGATGAGCTCGGTGAAAATCAACTTTTCGCTGGTCAAAAGTTAACTCAGGTTCATTTTCCACTTGCTTTTCCGCTTCCATGGAAATAATCTTTATTTGTTGAAGTGCACATTCTCTTTGTTATGAAGCAACAGTCAGTCCATGCAATTTTGGACGCAATTTTCACTATGGGTCATCCGGAAACTGTCTCTCTGTGCTTTAGTACAGGGGTAAGACTGCGTACATCCGACCCCCCCTTACCCCACCGTAGGTGGGAGCCTTTGCGGCACTGGGGTAAATGAAAATGAAATGATGATGAATGATATTGAAGTGCGCATTCGATCTTCAGTCGCATATTCAAATTTTCCCTTTCCAGCTCGTACTACTACTTTTGGCACTGGTTGCTGTTCCATGGATGCTTCTCCCTAAACCATTCCTTTTGAAATCACAACACAACGTAAGGTTTCTGTTTTTATTTTTGTTTCTTTTTAGCATTATTGCTTATATTATGAGATTTTTAACTCACACATATAATGTTTATTCTTCAGAGACATCAAGCACAGTCTTATGCCCCAATTCAAGATCTAGACGAGTCCTTACTTGTAGATGGAAGTCATGATTCTAGTGATCATGAGGAGTTTGAGTTCAGTGAAGTCTTTGTGCATCAACTAATACATACCATTGAGTTTGTGCTGGGAGCAGTCTCTAATACTGCTTCTTATCTTCGTCTGTGGGCCCTTAGGTATCATTTCATATTCCTTGGCCAGTGTTAATATTTACCTGAATATTTAAAAGATTATCTGACCAAGTTATTACCAATTTTATGTGACTTGAAATGACACGTAGACAGTGATAATTAAATTTGTCCGTTTGATTCTTATGTTTCAATTTCATGTAGAAGAAATAATTGCTTACTGAAATTAGAGGGCTTGGTTATGTGTGCAGGCAATTATTAGTGTTATACTACTTATTATATGTGCTTTCTTATCCGTGCAATGAATATGGCTAGAGCTTCATTTGCCCACATATCTGCAATCTGCAATTTTTACATTCATCATACTCCCTGTAACCCAAAAAAGGTTTATGTTTCCTTTTAAAGAAAGATGAAATTGTCACTGAAATTGTGTTGTTAATATTATTTTTTTTCTGCATAAATCTCAACCGCACAATTTCAGTTTCTTAGTAGTTAGTAAGCACGCCGGGTCAAATGAGCAACCTTATTTTGAGTTGGGTGAAGCATAACATAAAGTAGCTCCTGTTTGATTAAACATTACTCAAGTATTCTATGTGTGGCCATCTTGCAGTCTTGCACACTCTGAGCTGTCAAGTGTCTTCTACGAGAAGGTCCTCATCCTTGCTTGGGGGTAAGTGCTTGTTCATAGTAGTTTGAATGCAAGAGTTCCATTACTAATTTGATGAGAGAAACTGAGAGAAAGGGCCAAAGAGGTATGGTTAGCCTGTTGGCAGTTGTTATGCACTGGAGCATCCATTACTAGCTGTATCTGACTCTCAGAGAAACTCCAATACTTGATGTTTTAATACTATGATAAATTTTAAATATATACCCTTACCCTTACAGTTAGCAACATAGGCCCTAGCAACTTTTCTTCCTTGTAGAATGTAGATTTTAGAGCCCGTTTGGCAAGGGAATAATTTGACAGAACTGACTGAGTATGCTAAATCAGTCGTATTATCTATAAACATATTTAAGTAGATTTTTAATACATAAAAGAAATTAATATTTGAAATGAGGGTAGATATTTTGTGTTTCATTTATTTAAATATAAGCAAACAAGTAATGCTTGTAATAGTTTGGTGTAAAATTTGGCCTAGTTTCATTTCTATTCTCTCATGTGTACGTTTAAATCACATGCACACTTCACACACACACACTAAACAATACATGCATGGAAGAGGTGGCAAGAGTTGTGGATATATGCTAGTGAGCGATAGCAATGATGGGTCATATATAATATTCGACTTATTGTAGGTACAACAATATTATCATTCTTATAGTTGGCATAATTGTGTTCATTGCTGCGACTGTTGGTGTGCTGTTGGTGATGGAAACACTGAGTGCATTCCTTCATGCGCTAAGGCTTCACTGGGTGGAGTTCCAGAACAAGTTTTATGAGGGAGACGGATACAAGTTCACTCCTTTCGCTTTCGCTTTGCTTAGCGAGGAAGAGGATTAAATCAGTGTTGATGTTCATGGTCTCTTGTTCTTTTGCTTCTTTCACCATCATCATCAGCAGCTAAGGTGGAGGGGTTCCTGTCTCTTTTTCTTCTTTTTTTTGTTGGGATTTGGAGATGAATGATATTTTTACTGCGTGACCTTCCATCCCTCAACGTTGTGTAATAATAATAGTAACATTATTAATTACTAATAATAAGCATCTTGTCTGTATTCTGGCAGTTGCTGATACCTCACCTATTAGGGATTAGTCTGTGTTGTATATTACTCGTCCTGTACTCCTGTTTAATAAAGAGGATTATGCTCAAGGGTCAAAAGGGACATGTGTCCGTCCGAATGGTTCAGTTTACACTCCGCACACTAAAGTACTAAACTATAAAAAGTTTCGATCACATTCGAACAAAAAACTGCAATAGCCCATTTGGCAAGTTTAAAACATATGCTATAGTACAGACTACTACAGAGTATTCATTTGAAAGTAACTGTATCAAAATATATAAAAACAAAGTTATTTTCAAAAATTCATCTCTGACTTTCCATTGAATTTTTAGTTTAAATTTAGTGAACATAATATACATTTTATGAAGAACATGCTTACATGCCCATATAATTTCAGAAAAAAATCAATAAAACCACTCAAAATGAGGTGACCGGACAACAATCTTGTTCTGAAATTTGCGACAAGAATATTTGTGTAACTAAAGATTAAAGACTATTAATATGTGTGTCAACTCCTATAACATGAATCTTACGAATTGCATGTATTTAGTTTGACATTTTTAACAAGTAACAATATCTCAATCTATCAAGGATATGCAAATTAAAGGAATTGAAACACCCTTTTGTTACTTCGAAAATATTTTTGCAACCAGTTGACACATCCCTTTTGTTCCTTGTGTGAGTTACTGTAGTAGATAAGGAGAAGAGCCGAAGAGGTGATTGGAAGTATCACGCTCCCACAGTCCCACGGTCCCAACTGATGGCCGTGAACTCTATTCGGGAGGGGCAGGGGGCGGGTGCCCTGGGCCCAAAAACATGAAATATTCTTAGGCCCACCGTTAATTCTTGTAGTATGTTTGAGTAAGTTGATTTTCAGCCCAAAATAATTAATTTTGTGCAGCCCAACCAACCAGCCCTAAAGCCCAAATAAAAAACACGCAGTAGCTAACACAGGAGTTTAGTTTGGTAAACTGTGTTCCGTACTTCCGTCCGTAAACTCACGTTGGCACTGTGGCACGCAGCGGTTCTGTTCGGCCTTCGACATCGGGCGTCAGCGTCCAGCACTCCAAGTCTCCGGTGTTGGGTTTGTTTCGAAAAACAAAGAAAATGGATGAAGCGGAAATTAGCCAAAATTCGTTGCCTCCCTAGGTGTTAGGAGCGTTGCAACAATCGTTTTCCAGGATACAATGACCACGAACAATCGTTGAGCACTCAAACGACTATTCCGGCGAACGTGAACAAAGGAAAAACACGAAGGAATATTTCAGAAATGTTAGAGGTTTTTTAGAGCTAAAGAGTGCGTGAGTTCGTTTGTGAACGTGTTTTGATCGTGTTGTTGCAAACAACATACTTCTAGCATGCTTCTAGCATGAACGTTGGGCAATTATGGTGTTGTAACGACAACAACAAGCTTCTCCAACGGGGAGAGCAGTAGTCTGCTCCAGTGGTCGCCCGTGCACACGAGTCGCGGTTTTTCTTCTCCATTTTCGGGATTTGATCGTCACCCCCGCACGCGAAGAGAACCTTTTCACCTAAGAATCTTAACTTCTTCAAATGGGGTTCCCTTTATAAGGGGGTAAAAATCCCTTGGATTTTCAGGTGTGAGATAAAACACACTAGAAACCCATCATTTTCCTAGTTTTCCCCATTTCAACGAGTGAACTTCGAGAATCAATTTCTCATTCACCAGTTATCCGTGTTGAGTGTATTTCCTAACGAATTGTAGCCCTTAGCAAGGACCATCCGAAACCACTTTGACCCGACCCAAATCGGAAGTGAACTCCACTCAAAAAATTTCTCCAAAATGACCCTTTAATGCAATTTATTAACACATTTTCCAACATCCAGCTCCAACTCTCCAACCCTTCAAGGGTTCTTGTTATCAGAATATCAGGTATACCTTCAGTTCATCAGTTCGACCATTGACCCATTGTCTAAGACTTTTACAAAATTACAGCTTTTAACATTTTTTTATTGATTATGTGACCATTTTTAACAATTAATATTTTCTTTTATTAATTTATTTGATTAACACGAACATATGATTACGTGACCTGTTTATTAATCGATAAATTGATTTAATTCATAGTTGTTTAATGCTTATAAATGATTATGAATAGTTGACAAATATTTAGTTGATTTGTTACATGTTAATCACTTAATTGTTGATTTGTTACATCTACCGTTGGTGTTATAATTTGTTCGTTTTGTTAGGTAAAAATTTTCAATTGTAGTAAAAATTTATAAATTTAACTAATTTCAAGGTTTAATAAAAATGGGTGAATCTGTATGGCAGAAAAAAATGAAGAAGAGAAGATTAGATAATGCTTCCCTAAGTAAAAAAGATGTAATTGAAAAGTTTTTTTTATGAAGAAGACAAATTCTGAAAGTCCTTCGAAAGATAAGAACTTAGAGGAGAAGAATGATTCAACTTACGAAAACGAAATAGTTCATAATGATAATGTTGTTGGAGGTGAGAACTTAGGAGTTGATAACATTGGTAGTCATCAAGCAATGTATTTAAGTAATTTTATTTGTTTATTTTGAAAATGTGATTCAACTATATTTAATTTTACGAATTCAAGAATTTTCCTTTTATAAAGGTCTTCAAGTATTTATTATTTTGCATGTTAATTTAGATAAAAACAGCTTTTACAATTTTTATTAAAGTTAGGCCTATTTTAAATTATTCACTCCTTGGCCTTCAAATATATAGGGCCGCCCCTATGTCTCTCCTTCCCTCTCAAACTATCTCACTCTGGTTGTTATATCGTGGGAGTAGTCCATAGCGAGCATGATATTTTCACAGTTAAAACACGAGTGAATAGTAACACACGTGAACATTTTGTTTCATTAGTAGTGATGGAGTATTAACTCCTAGAGAGAAGGGAGAGCTAAGAGAGAAGTGATATGTCTTATTAGGGAATTGTGAGTCGGGGGCCACTTAGGGAGAATGTGGGCCGGGGGGTTCCTGGGCCATATACTCCATCAGAAGAGAATCTGGGAGTAGATCTTTTGTTGTCTTGATGCTTTCTTGGCCTTCGGAAGATTGCCTGGGAGAATTTGGCATTTCAGGCCGAGGTGGTGCCATAATTGTTGGCTGCCTTTTGTCCTTCATTTCGAGGACGTTGAGCATCCTTCATTTTGAGGACGATGGATGTCCTCCATTTCGAGGACGAGGAACGTCCTTCAATTCGAGGACGATGAATGCCCTTCATTTTGAGGACGAGGAACGTCCTTCATTTCGAGGATGATGAATGTCCTTCATTTCGAGGACGAGGAACGTCCTTCATTTCGAGGACGAGGAACGTCCTTCATTTCAAGGGCGATGAATGTCCTTCATTTCGAGGACAAGGAATGTGCTTCATTTCGAGGACGATGAATGTCCTTTATTTCGAGGACGAGGAACGTCCTTCATTTCGAGGACGATGAATGTCCTTCATTTCGAGGACGATGAATGTCCTTCATTTCGAGGATGAGGAACGTCCTTCTTTTCGAGGACGATGAGTGTCCTTCATTTCGAGGACGAGGAACATCCTTCATTTTGAGGACGATGAGCGTCCTTCATTTCGAGGACGAGGAACGTCCTTCATTTCGAGGACGATGAGTGCCCTTCATTTCGAGGACGAGGAACGTCCTTCATTTCGAGGACGATGTGCGTCCTGCCTCGTGCTTCGGCTTGGCCGAAGGGTGACCACATGATTCTGGTCGTTGGGATACCATTGTCATTGGCTTTGAGGACGATGCCTACTTTGCGCTTTTGATTTTGGCCGAAGGTGGACGTCCGTGATGTCCTTGTCATTTTGGCCGACGGTGGATCACAATGGTTGAGGGCGTCCATGGCTTGTGGTCCTTTGCGCTTTTTGAACTTGTTTATCTTGGGATCTTTTTGTGGCCCGTGGAGGCCGATATAGTCCCTGAGTCCCCCACTCATTGAGGCACATGTAATGAGGTGAAAAGGAGTAGAGTAATGCATGTCTTCAACACGGGGACGAGGGTCGACACCTTTTGATCCATAATGGGGCGGTGCCTCGTTAAAAACCTCATTAGGAAAAACCTTGTGGGAAAAAATCCTAATGAGGGAAAAGAGCACACCAGATGCCCCCAAAATGAAGCAATAGTTTCATTCCCTTCGGCCTGGACGTGGAGTTGCACCGGTGTCCGTCTGCCGAGGGGACACCCGTCTGATGATAAGGACGACGGTGCTGATGAGCCGGTCTGATTCTGAGGACGAGGCAATGGACGCTTGCCTAAATAGGAGGACGAGGCGGTAGGCGCCCGTCTGATTGTGAGGATGACGGTGGTGATGAGCCGTGCGTCATATAAAGCCGACGATTGCTATCCGGGAAGGGTATGGCGAGCCCGGTCACTAGATGAGGGGCCGATCTTGAGATAGATCATCACGCCGAGGCCAAAGGGCCGAACGGCGTTGAGGAGCCGGTTGATAAATGACGACGAGGCAAATATGTAATTGATCGTCACGTAAAGGCGATGGTCACCATCCAGAAAGTGACGGCGAGCCTAATGGCTAGCTCAAGACGCTTAGCGCTGGGGAAGCCGGTCTTGAGATATATAATCACGCAAAGGCCGAGGGGCTGGTCGTGATGTAGGGGCGAATGACGATGAGGAGCCAGTTCGTAATAAAATGATGAGGCAATGATGAAGCCGATCATCATAGAAGCTCAAGTCTCTTGGCGCTGAGGAAGCCGGCCTTGAGATACAGTATCACATCGAGGCGGAGAGGCCGTTCATTGCATGAAGGAGAGGGTCTCCATCCAGGAAGGGAATGGCGAGCCCGCTCGCTAGCTCAAGACGCCCGACGCTGAGGAGACCGGTCTTGAGATAAGGGATCACGCAGAGGCTTAGGAGCCATTCGTGATCTGAGGACGATGGCGTTGATGGGTCGTTCGTGATATGAATGCGATGGTCACCATCCAGGAGAGGATGACGAGCCCAATCACTGGCTCAAGACGTTCGGCTCTGAAAAAGCATGTCTTCAGATAGATGATCACGCTGAGGCCGGGGGCCGTTCGTGATATGGGAATGGTCGGCGATGAGGAGCCGGTCCTATAATATGATGACGAGGCGATGTTGAAGCCGACCGTCATATGAGCTCAAGACTCTCGGCATTAAGGAAGCCGATCTTGAGATAAAGCATCATGTCAAGGCTGAGTAGCCG